CAAGCGACGTGACCTTTCCCTCCACACAACATGAGACTGACCCCCATGTATAACTGAACACGAAAGCATGTGGAGAATGCATGTGGGAAGGGGAGAAAAGTTCTGCCTGCAGATTAGCTGGGTTGCCAACACTTTAGTCTCTGCTGTGCGTTGCATCCGTGGCCGGCTTGCAAACCTTGGCCTGGTGTGTTGGGGGCTATGATGTGAACTTCCCTGGCCCAGAGAAACATCTGGGGGAGGCTCTTGGTCTGTTCCAAGCGTCCACGTTTTGTGAACTCAGGGTCGATCCACATTCTGGTGCTCATGAAGCCCGGTGGTCAAGCGCCCACTTTGCATGCAGAAGAGCCTACTTTGGTGTCTCCAGGCAGAAAGACCTAGAGGGCTGATGGAGATGGGCCTTGATCTAGGTCATGTCCTGGACAGGCCGCAGCTGGAGAGGAGCTGGTATGAATGGGATTCAGATATGTTTGCCCCGGCCTTAGGGAAGCCCTTCTTTCTCAATCCCCCCTCCCCCAACTGCCATATAGAGAAAACAACCCTCTTTACGGTGTTCCTGTGAGGATTGAAACAAGGAAATGTACTATGGATATATACAGTGTTATATGTGTGTTTCTATATCGCTAATCTGACAACCCCAGTCTTTAGGAGGGTTTTTATGCTTGCAAGGTTCAACCTTTTCCCCTCAGTAGTGGTCTCAGGTAGATACAGGGGTGTTCCGTACAGGGATAGACTTTGTAACTGTAATCTTGGGGAACCTGACTCTATTACCCATATCCTTCTCCGCTGTCCCAAATACTCCATTATGCGCAATAACTTGATTCGCCCTTTCCTCCCTTCGCAGAGAGATTTTCTGGACAGGGATTTTAAATTTTTTTTAGCAGACCAGAGCCCAGCAATAATACTATCTGTCGCTGAATTTTTGACCTACGTATGGAAATCAAGAGTAATACTCTGTAATTCTTGTAAATCATGTTAGGATTGTCTTGTATTTTGGAATATCGGGAATATTGGTTGATGTTGTTCTTGTACTACCCCTTAAACTTTTCCTTGCCTGGTTTACTTATGTTATGCCAATAAAGGTTTTTCTGTTCTGTCTGTATGTTTCTACTCTGTCTGTGGGGCTATGGTGGCTCAGAGGTTAAGATGCTGAGCTGCAGATCGGAAGGTTTGTAGTTCAGTAGTTCGAGACCCGAGTGCCACGTGACAGAGTGAGAAGAAGAGATTGGATTCCTACCCCGCCCTTCACTACCCAAGGGAGTCTCAGAGCGGCTTACAATCTCCTTTCCCTTCCCCTCCCCACAACAGACACCCTGCGAGGTAGGTGGGGCTGAGAGAGCTCTTCAGAGAACTGTCCTTGAGAGAACAGCTCTGACAGAACTACGGCTTGCCCAAAGTCATCCAGCCAGGTGCAAGTGGAGGAGTGGGGAATCAAACCCGGTTCTCCCAGATTAGAGCCCGCGCACTTAACCACAACACCAAACTGGGTCTCGTCCCTGGTCCCAGCTCCTGCCAACCTAGCAGTTCGAAAGCAAGAAATTGCAAGTAGATAAATAGGTACTGCTTGGGTGGGAAAGTAACAGCGTTTCATGCACCTTGGCGTCTAGTCATGCCGGCCACATGGCCATGGAAATGTCTTCGGACAGTTCTGGCTCTTTGGCTTGGAAACAGAGGTGAGCACTGCACCCTAGAGTCAGATTCGACTAGCTTTCGAGCAAGGGAAACCTTTACCTTTACTCTATCCATGGCATATGCCATTCAAGGAGGCCCTCCCTAAACACTTGATTGAAATTTACGTGACAGGTGACCCATTCTGTCAGGATTTTTGACAGGGGCGCAGTTTGTTTCATCTGTCAGATAACGATGTTGGAACTTCTCTGTGCCATTTAACACAGTATTTTTTTTTGGGGGGGGGTTAGCATTAATTTTATCTATATTCTTGTTTCATTGTTCCGTGTCACACTGAGAACTTCCTGCAGTGAAGAGGAAACCAGGATATTTTGAAAACCAATAAACTCTTGCTGTGCAGGAAGTCAGCAGTGGGGTGATAGCGGCCCGCCCGCCTGCCCACATGCCTCTCTGGGCATTCACAAAACCAGTCACTGATGCCAAAGAAAGGGACTTGCTGAGAGGTCTTCTTCAGAATAAACCGGTCATTGGCAAAATGAGGCAACACCTCAGTCTAGTGCATAGGCCACAGGGATAAACAGCTGTGAAAAGAGATTAGATAGATGCATGGAGGATACGTTTATCAATGGCTACTAGCCATGGTGACTGAGGGGAACCTCCACATTCAGAGGCACCAATCCTGTAAAATTCAGAGCCAGGAGGCAACATGAGGGGAAGGCCTTGACCTCTCTGCCCTGTTGCTAGACCTCCAAAGGAACTGGTTGGCCACTGTGTGAGACAAGATGCTGGACCAGATGGACCACTGGTCTGATCCAACAGGGCTCTTCTGATGTTCTTATTAGGGGAAGGCTTCAGTCTCTACGATCTGTTGTTGACCCTCCAGAGGAACTGGAAGGGAACAAGTATAAAGAAAACAGTCATGAGTGTCTGACACACAAATCAAGCAGTCAACAAGACTTGCAAAGAAAATGCTTACAATGTATTACAGTCTGAAGCACTACAACACAATACATTTATTTATTTATTTTATTTATTTACATTCGACTTTATATCCCGCCCAAACCCCCTTGTCTAGGGGGTCTCTGAGCGGCTTACAGGTCGGTGCTAGTCACCATTTTATTCCTAACTAGGGCCACACATATTTTTGGGGTGGGGGAACCTACCAGCACCCCTGTGGTGGTGGTTGGTGTTGGTCTTCTTTTTTCCGTTGGCTCCAGTATTGGCGGGGTGCTCTTTTCGGCGCTGGGTGGTAATTCTCTCTTCCTGAGGCGCACGACTTCCTGCCTCCTTCCTGCCTCCTTCCTGCCTGCCTTAACAGCAATGAACAGCCACTATGGCTGTTCGAGACCCACCGCGGCCGGGGTGAGCTCCCGGCCCTAGTCCCAGCTCCCGCCCACCCAGCGGCTCGAAAGCAATTAAAATAGCGAGTAGACCAATGGGTACCTACCCTTAGATGGGTAGGGGGCACCCTCCTCTGTGCGAGGTGTGTGGTGGAGGCATTGGCGGCTGCAAGCAGCACATCGGTGGCGGCAGAACATTGGCGGCGGCGGCGGTGTGACGAGGTAGCAGCAGTGGCGGCGAGGTTGACGGAGCGAGCCCTGGTGGCCAGTGACTGCAACATCGTGTGGCTGAGTCGGATGACGGTGGAGGCGGAGCCAGAAGGTGCGGTGACGTGGAGCAGGTGCGGCGGAGCCGGAAGTGGACATAGCCGAAGCCGGAAGCTGACACGGACCACGCACTAGGACGGACCGCCGAAAGAAGCCACCACGGAAAATAGAAAGACCCACCCCTGACACCAGGACGGAAGCGCCGGCCCGAACACCACCTGAAAGAAAAGAGCTGAGCCGGAGAACAACAAGCCCACCACCTGGGTGCCGGTAGGCAGCCCCGTCCCGCACTATGTGGCCTTAGTCAGGGAAGCAACATTAGAAACTTCTATGTAAACCGCCCAGAGACCCTTTGGGGTTAGGGCGGTATATAAGCCGAATATATAAATAATAAAATTAAAAAATTCCTACAAATCATAAGAAAATCCTAGTGCAAAGGTATATCATCAACGTCGTCTCCGGATTATCTAACAACGTTTCAAAATTGGATCTTCCTCAGGAAATGTTAGAGTAATACAAAAGTTCTCTTGTTCATAAAGTGGGACGCCTAGGATCCATTAGAAGCTTAGCAGCATACTCGAGCCTGAACATTTACTGAGATCAGCGTCCTATCTGAACGCATTATCTTTCATGATTTGTTGTAAAGCACTCACGACTGTTTTCTTTATACTTATTCCCTGATTAGGTCGTGTTTGTCCACATTTGTCTTGTAACATCGGGGGAAGGCCTTGATCTCTCTGCCCTGTTGTTGGTCCTCCAGAGGAACTGGCTGGCCCCTGTGTGAGACGGGAGGCTGGACTAGATGGACCACTGGTTTGATCCAGCAGGGCTCTTCTGAGGTTCTTCTCAGAGAAAGGCCTTGGCCTCTATGCCCTGTTGTTGGCTCTCCAGAGGAACTGGTAGGCCACTGTGTGAGACACGATGCTGGACCAGATGGACCACTGGTCTAATTCAGCAGGGCTGTTCTGGTGTTCTTATTAGGGGAAGGCTTCAGTTTCTACGATCTGTTTTTGGCCCTCCAGAGGAACTGGTTGGCCACTGTGTGAGATGCGATGCTGGACTAGATGGACCTTCATTGGTCTGATCCAGCAAGGCTCTTCTTATGTTCTTATGAGGGGAAGACCTCGGCCTCCATGCCCTGTTGTTGGCCCTCCAGAGGAACTGGTTGACCACTGTGTGAGATGGGATGCTGGACTAGATGGACCTTCAATGGTCTGATCCAGCAGGGCTCTTCTTATGTTCTTATGAGGGGAAGGCTTCGGCCTCTCTGCCCTGTTGTTGGCCCACCAGAGGAGCTGGTTGGCCTCTGTGTGAGACAGGATGCTGGACTAGATGGACCTTCATTGGTCTGATCCAGCAGGGCTCTTCTAATATTCTTATTTCATACAACAGCCCTGCTTCCCTCGCAGACTAAGCACAGCGTCTGTTAGCACCCTGAGTAATATTCCAGGGAAACTTGAATGGCGAAATTATAGCATTTTTGCAGGTGGTGACCAACCCTCTCCATGTCTGAATGTGTGATGACCTTCCCTGTGTGTGATGCAGCACACCCAGTCCTTAGACCGACTGCGGGTGGAAGGCTGGATCCTGGGGAGGTGTCAGCCCCTCCTCCCTCCCATCCCCGGCTATATAAAACTCTAGCTGGGCTGGGAGAGAATGAGGAGGAGGAGCGGAACTCCCCTGTCCTTCCAGCCAGTCGCTCCTGTTTGGCCAAAAAACAGGACACCCCAGGAGCACCAGAGCAGCCTCCTTCTCTGAGAGGAGACGATGACAACCAAGCAAAGAGTCGTCCGGGTTTGCACTGAGCGGCCCACCTATGCGGTCTGTGTGCTGGGAACAGAAATCTCCCTGGACGTCAGCGGGTAAGCGATGGCGGCTGAAAGAAGAGGGCGCTTTTGCCGCGTGTGGGGTAGGGAAGAGCATGAGCTGTGAGCACATCAGTTCAGCCAGGAGCTTTCTGAGACGGCCTTAGCCAAAGTCACTCTCCCTTGGCCCCCGCCTCCCTCCCACCTCTCACTGGTCCACTTTACAGGGTGATTGTAAGGATTATTTAGACATGGGGCCCTTAGGAGAAAGCACTATATAAATACTATTAAATATTGTTGATATTGTTGTTGATATGATTCCTGGAATGCCCCGGAAAAGTCGGACATTAAGACATGATGGCAATAGCCCCCACCTTGTTTATTCCTCAATATGCCGGAGATATACTGCTTCTGAACACAGATATTCCATTTTTTAAAAACTTCATGGCTAATAGCCACTGGTAGATCTGTCCTTCCCTTCCCGAAAGCCATTTGTGCCAGTAGCCACCCTTTTCTTCTGGCAGAGTTTGGTGCATCGCACCGCTGTGCTGGCTACCACAGTGACCAACGAAACTCAGCTTTGTAAGGTCGGATAACCAGGTAAGGTTTGTTTCCACATCAGGAGAGGCTTGTTAAGTTTCCCCACTGCTGGAAAGTCTGCCTATACAGCAATGGAGCTTCCACATGGCAGTTTTCCCACAGTTTCCCTGCTCCAGTCCCCTGGAAGTGGTTGCTCCTCCCTCCCCGCCCCAGGCCAGTGGGGCTTTTCTGGGTTGGTTTTTTTTTGCCTTTCCCCTTATATCTCCACAACAAAAGAGGCTAGAGACTTACTTTAAAAACATTATTTATTTATTTTATTGCATTTATACCCTGCCCTCCCCGCGAACAGGCTCAGGGCGACTCACACAGAGCACAAAGTGCATACAGTATATAAAAGTTAAAACAGTTAAAAATTGGTTCCAACGAATGCACATATAAAACTCCCAACATCTTGCATAGCAGAGGGGAAGGCTAGGGTCATGGAAAGATGTTACCCAGCCCTCTGGCGGTATCGCTCCATGAGGGAGCGGTGGTGGAAGAGGCCGTGGCGGCTCCTACTCGTAAGCCTGGTGGAAGAGCTCCGTCTTGCAGGCCCTGCGGAACTGCACAAGGTCCCGCAGGGCCCTGATTTCCTCCGGGAGCTCATTCCACCAGATAGGAGCCACCACTGAAAAGAATCTGGCCCTTGTTGCTGCAAGCTTGACCTCCTTAAGGCCCGGGGTCACCAGTCGGTGTTGTGACCCCGACCAAAGTGCTCTTTGGGGAATATAGGGAAATGCGGTCCCTCAGGAATGTCAGGCCCTGGCCATGTAGGGCTTTAAAGGTAAGCACCAGCACTTTGAAGCGAATCCGGTATGCTATAGGCAGCCAGTGCAGTGCTTTCAGTACAGGTCGGGTGTGCTCCCACCTAGGGGCGCCCACCAACAACCTGGCCGCAGCATTCTGCACCAGCTTCCGGATTTGCGACAGAGGGAGCCCCATGTAGAGAGCATTACAGTAGTCTAGCCTCGAGGTGACCGTCTCATGGATCACTGTAGCTAGGTCATTGCGGCCGAGGAAAGGAACCAACTGCCGTATCAGCCAGAGATGATAAAAGACTGATCTGGCAGTGGCTGCCACCTGGGCCTCCATCGTTAAGGTGGCCTCCAGGAGCACTCCCAGACTCCTAACCTCCGAAGCTGGCACCAGAGGTGCCCCATTGAAGGTCGGAAGCGGGAGCCTCAACCCCGGTCCGGATCGACTCAAGGACAGGACCTCCATCTTCGCCGGGTTTAACTTCAGCCTGCTCAGCCTGAGCCACCCAAAGCAAATAAAAACCCCAGGAAGTGCAGGAATGAACCACAGTGCTGTTGGGAAGCAGGGGGGAAAAACCCATTTCCCAAAAACACAGAACCCAGGGCAGATAATCCATGTGAAAATGTCAAGTAAGAGCGGACCAAATTTCCAAAGAACTTTCTGATTTCTGGAGCTTTGTTCCTTGCATTTCTTCCAAAGCTTTGTTCCTTGCATCTCTTCCAAAGCTTTGTTCCTTGCATCTCTTCCAAAGAAACGTATTACTGGCCATTTTGGGGCTTGTTTCTTACATGCATTTTTAAAATTCAAAGAGGGAGATGTGAGATCACAAGTGGACTTAACGACGAGGCAGACCTACTGCCAGATATCATGACAGGAGGGCCTGGTTCTTCACGGTGTCTGATTATTTACAGGCTCTGCAAGCAGCCTAGGAAGTAGTGAAAGCCCTGCAGGATCTCAGCTCTGAATCCAAAATTCTGTAGCCCCCCCCCCACAATAAGAAACACTTATCTGAGCATGGGGAGGTATAGATGTTCAAGAGGATCAGCTCTAGCTTTATGTTGAACCCCTGATATTATGTGTGTGGGGGGGAGTCAATTGCTCAGCATGCAACTACTTGAGACAGAGACGCAAAGGTACACACCCCGGGGAACCAGGTGCTATTTCAGTCTATTTATGGCACCAGGCGGCAGTCTTTCACATGAGTAACTGGTTGCAAATCATACTCTGCAAGCAAAGAAGGGTGTCCTACGGTGGTGACAGCCCACACACGGTTTTCAATCCTGAGATGGATTTCATGTGGGTTACTCAAAGTGTTTTACAGCTCCTCTCCCACTCTTGGTGGGCACGTATATAAAACAGGAATGCAGTTTGAGATGGGCTTGAACCAAGATCTTTAAACAGATCGATGGTCATCCGAGATTCCGTTACGATGTCCATTATGACATTTGTTTTGAATCTCTCTCTCTGGAAGCGGTCCATGGACAAGCGGGACATTGTGCCGATGGGGTGCTCCAGATAGGTTTCATATTAAGATGGAGTTTTCATATTAATAAACGTTTCCTGTTAAGAGGGCCGTCCCACTGATGGACCTCTGCTCCATGTTTATCCAGTTTCCTCTTCATTGTAGCCACCGCCACCTCCTGTGGCAGTGAATTCCATGTGTTAATCACTCTTTGGGTGAAGAAGGACTTCCTTTTATCTGTTCTAACCCGACCGCTCTGCAGTTTCATGGAGTGCCCACAAGGAGTTCTTGTCTTGTGAGAAAGGGAGAAAAGTAATTCTTTCTCGACCTGCTCTTTCCCGTGCATAATCTTGTAAACCTCGATCATGTCACCCCTCAGCTGTTGTTTCTCCAAGCTGAAGGAGCCCCAAGCGCTTTAACCTTTCTTCACAGGGAAAGTGTTCCAACCCTTTGATCAATCTAGTTGCCCTTTTCTACACTTTTTCCAGTGCTATAATATCCTTTCTGAGGTGTGGTGACCAAACACTAAAAGATTTCGTGTTTAAATACTAGCACACACACACCAATCCTGATCCCCCTGAATGACTTTTCCCCATGCACGGAATTAAGTGTACTGGAATTAATGCTCTTCTTTGGGCTTATAAGTAGTGTTGCCGCCTCCAGGCTGGGAAATTTCTGAGGAATGAGGGGGGGACCTGGGGAGGGTAGAGTTTGGGGGGGGGGAAGCAGCTCAGCAGGGATGCGATGCCCATACGGTTTGCCCTCCGAAGCTGCCCTTTCCTGCATGGTGCACTGATCTCTGTGGTCTGCGGATCAATTGTAATTCTGGGAGAACTCCAGGTCCCATCTGGAGGTTGTAACCCTACTCATAAGTGAGTGAGGCCCCCCTCCCCATTCCTTCAGAGAGAAGTAGCTCCCGGAATATGGTCATTGGGTGTATGACTACAGACCATAAATCTAGCAGAACCAGCTGCAAGAGAAGAAGCTATTACAGGGGTTTATGGTGAGATTTATTGCCTCTTTCTTTCCCCTGTTAAATTCTGCATGCTGACAGATTAATATCTCTGTTTACAAGTCGCTGCAAGGCACTGAGGGAGAGAGAGAGAGAGAGAGAGGAGCAGGAAGATCATTTTCTCTATGGCATAAAGGTTCTACACATCTTTTCGCAGGGCAGGAAGAACTGAGTCCAGCAGTGCCACCACCTTAGAGAGCCACGAGGGTTTCAGGGGATGTGTTTTTCGGTAGTCCAGGCTCCCTTCATCAGACACGAGTGGAGTAGAAATGGAGATCCGTGCATCCTTTTATCCTAGTCAGAAGGAGGGAGGGGTGTTGTAAAGAATGCGGCAGAGGAAAGGTGCAGATTGTAATCAGCTTGATGAGGGCAGAGGGGGAAATGCCTGGGGGCAGAAAATCAGCACCTGTCCTGAGATAAGAACCCCGTGTCCCTATTCAACCCCGGATGCCCATTGTTCTGACACCCCCCCCCTCTGAATTAGGATTCTTATCTCACTATAAAAGGTAAAGGTTCCCTTGCTTGAAAGCCAGTCGAGTCCGACTCTAGGGTTGCGGTGCTCATCTCCATTTCAAAGCCGAAGAGCCAGCGCTGTCCGAAGACGTTTCCGTGGTCATGTGGCCGGCATGACTCAACACCAAGGCGAACGGAACGCTGTTCCCTTCCCACTGAAGTGGTACCTATTTATCTACTTGCAATTTCTTGCTTTCGTACTGCTAGGTTGGCAGGAGCTGGAACTAGAGACGGGAGCTCACTCCATCATGCGGCACACTTGGGTCTCGAACTGCTGAACTACCGACCTTCCACAGCCTGCAGTCTTAACCACTGCAGTCTTAACCACTTGAGCCACTGCAGCTCACTATAGATGCTAATTTTTTGCCCCCAGGCCTTTCCCCTCTGCTGAAAGCAAGCTGAATACAGCCATTCTTTATAATGCCCCTCCCACCTTCTGACTAGGATAAAAGGACTCAAGATCTCTATTCCTACTAGTGTCTGACACAGGGAACTTTGACGCTGAAACTTTTGTTGGTCTTTAGGGTGCTACTGAACCAGAATTTAACTGTTTTATAGGGCATTAATTACACTAATTGCCCAGGTTTACTTACTTTTTCTCTTCCCTCTTTATCCTTCTTTCTTCTCTCTCTTCCTCTCTGTCAGTCTCTCTGTTTTTCCCTTTCTTCTCTGTACCTCTTATTCTCTCTTTTTCTCCTGAAAGAGGTGATGGAAAGATTAGCATGCAGCTATGCAAAATACATACCCCACAGAGAAGCTTTGTTTTGTACAGACTAGCTGATAACTTTAGAAAAGAGCAAGAGTCGAGTAGCACCTTAAAGACCAACAAAATATGTGGCAGGGCAGGAGCTTTTGTGAGTCACTGCTCACTTCTTCAGATACAGCTGGAATAGATAACTTGTCATGTTCTTTGATTGATAATTGATAACTGTAATTGATAATTGATAACCTGTCATGTTCTTTGAAGGTATGAAATGCTGCACGTAGGAAATCATTATTTCAATAAGTATCACTATCTATGAGATTGTTATATTTTTTTACTTAAGTAGCATTTTAAACATGGATGACCTCAAAAAGCTTTTTTGGCATGTGAAATAAGAACAGAAGGTGAAAGGCATGTGCCGGCTCATTAATCTCACTGTGCTAGTCTGCTAAAGCCCGAAAAGAAAAGGAACCACACAAATACTTGCCGTATTTTAAGATGCAGAGTTAGGCCTGCAGTCTCACATTTAAAAATCTCAAGAGTGAAATCAGAATTGACGCTAAGAGTTCTGCTGGAGAGAGAGTAGAGTGAAATCCCCAGGGGTGAAAGTGGTCTTATTTGGGTCTATGTTCACCTGGAAGAAAGTGGCGCTGAAAGATGGATGCCTTTCTCTCTGATTCACATGTGCCTATTCAAAATTCAGTGACCAAGCATCAAGTGTTGACAGGCATGTGTGAACGCAGAGCACCCACCACAGATCAAACTGTCTCAGTCCCAGAAGTCAGTTCACACATTCAGCTATGTCGAGTAGGACTTGGCTCAAATTCTGCCCTTCGTCAGAGTGCCTGTTTCCACAGCTTTCACTTGCAGAATGACTTATCCAGGGCCTCCTGCTCATTAGGACCCGACAAATCATATAAATCAGCAGTAACAATGGGGCAAGGCTGGCGAATTAACTGAAGCTTCCGCTGCCAGATTCAAAAGATCATGCCTCTAATTTCACCGCGACACCTTTCAAAACTGAAAGATCCCTTCAATGATTTGTTTTTGGCACTAGATGCATCCCAAAGGGTGCCACGCATTTCGGTGTCCAGGGAACCGCTGGTCTCATATTCAAAAGATCTTGCCTCTAATTTCACCACGACACATTTCAAAACTGAAAGATCCCTTCAATGATTTGTTTTTGGCACTAGATGCATCCCAAAGGGTGCCACGCATTTCGGTGTCCAGGGAACCGCTGGTCTCATATTCAAAAGATCTTGCCTCTAATTTCACCGCGACACCTTTCAAAACTGAAAGATCCCTTCAATGATTTGTTTTTGGCACTAGATGCATCCCAAAGGGTGCCACGCATTTCAGTGTCCAGGGAACCACTGGTCTCAGATTCAAAAGATCTTGCCTCTAATTTCACTGTGACACCTTTCAAAACCGAAAGATCCCTTCAATGATTTGTTTTGGCACTAGATGCATCCCAAAGGGTGCCACGCATTTCGGTGTCCAGGGAACCGCTGGTCTCAGAATCGCCCTTATCTACGATCCAAAGTTTGTCACAGAGTCCACTGGTGCATTGAGATGGCCCCTGAAATCTGGCGTGGAGGTCATAGTGTCCATGAACAGGCCTAGCAGTGCTGTCAACGATAACAAGGTGAGCAAAGGTGTCATGAGGAAACTTGGTGAGTCACAGAATATTTCCTGGAAACAAGCTGTTGGTTTAGGGGTCAAAAGTACACCCCACCACAGCTTCTTGTGCGAGCAGACCATGATAGGCCACAAGGTCTAGGCTGTGGGTAACTTACAAATGGGTCGCTTGCTCCAGCTTGGAGGATGGTGGGAAGCAGGTCTCTCGCTCCCACTTCTCATGAAACACATGAAGGTGCCTGATACTGAATCAGACCCTTGATCCATCGTCAGTTTTGTCTACTCTGACCGGCAGCAGTTCCCCAGGGTCTCAGGATGAGGTCTTTCCCATCCCCTCCTGCCTGGTCCTTTTTAACTGGAGATGCTGCCGGGGACTGAACCTGGTACCTTCTGCATGCCAAGCAGAGGCTCTGCCACTGAGCCACGGCCCCTCTTTACAACTCTCCAGGGTCTCAGGCACAGAAGCCTTTCCCATCCCCTCCTGCCTGGTCCTTTTTAACTGGAGATGTCGCTGGGGATTGAACCTGGGACCTTCTGCCATGCCAAGCAGATTCTCTGCACCTGAGCCACCGCTCTTCTTTACAGCTCTCCAGGGTCTCAGGCTGAGGTCTTTCCCATCACCTCCTGCCTCGTCCTTTTGCCTGCCAAGCAGATTCTCTGCCACTGAGCCACAGCCCCTCTTTACAGCTCTCCAGGGTCTCAGGCTGAGGTCTTTCCCATCACCTCCTGCCTGGTCCTTTTTAACTGGAGATGGCAGGGATTGAACCTGGGACCGTCTGCATGCCAAGCAGAGGCTCTGCCACTTAACCACAGGCCCCTCTTTACAGCTCTCCAGGGTCCCAGGCTGAGGTCTTTCCCATCACCTCCTGCCTGGTCCTTTTAACTGGAGATGCTTCTGAGGACTGAACCTGGGACCTCCTGCCATGCAAAGCAGATTCTCTGCCACTGAGCCACAGCCCCTCTTTACAGCTCTCCAGGGTCTCAGGCGGAGGTCTTTCCCATCACCTCCTGCCAGAACTTGCAACTGGAGATGCCGGGGACTGAACCTGTGACCTTCTGCAGACCAAGCAGAGGCTCTGCCACGCAGCCACAGTCCCTCCCTTCTCCACTGCATCGTGCTGCTTTCATGTACCTCCTGGGTTTTCTCCAGCTTTACTGCACTCATTCTCAAACTGCTTAGCTGAAATGTTTTGGGAAAGACTGCAGCAAAAGACTTTCCCTGCCTCAGTCCCCACATCGACTATTCCCTCCGTCCTGCTTAATTGGGGCGCTATTCTGAGGGTGTTTTTTTAAAAAAACAACACACCAGTAATTGACATTTTGTTGCAACGTTATCATGATCTGTCTACTAGTTCCTTTGATTTCCCAATTTTTGTTTAAAAAAAGAAAAAGTCTTTAGCGCTTTCCATTGGGACGATATGCCTTTCAGTTTATATGTAAATGAAAGGGATAGAGGCTTACTTAAAAAAAATGAAAGCTAGGAAGTCAGAAAAATGGGTAGATAGATAATTATAATGCTATAACGATATCTCAGCTGCAGATTTTAAAAAGAAGCCATGAAAAGGCCACTATTGGCACAGGGGGAAACGGCTGCTGTGGGGTTCTGGGACCCGGAATATGTGGGGAAATCTACCCTGTGGAAGGCCCCCCCCGGGGGGGGGGGACAGGGTAAAGCACTGGCACTCACTATAATGATGCACAAACCAGGGGGGAAGCATTGCTGCGTGGGAAATCCCTCTGTGCAATGGGAGGCTGTTTGCTTTTCTGACAGAATAACAGCAGCTTCCGCAGAGTAAATTCTTCTGTCTGTTAGATAAGAGAGAATACGACCCAGGGGGAGACAGTTTCAGTGTGACTCTCTGTTAAAATAACCAAAGTGATCTGAGAGCTCAGCTCTGAGGGCGAGAAAGTGTTTCGGAGGCAAATGATTCAACCAAAGGCTGAAGGGACTGGGTGTGTTGAGACAAGAGCAAAAGGAGGCGCCCTGAGGCTCCTCCTGGCCGTGTCCATCAAGGATTTCCTGCTCTCTGGAAAATTCATCCAAAGAGTATCAGGTTGGGGCCTAACGCCTTTTCTCACTGGGCCTGAGATGGGGCTGGTTATGGGAGGACCAGACTTGCTATAGAATAGGGCTCCTGTAGAGGTACCTCCCTGGTTAGCAAACAGGTTGTTGGAGGGGCATTTTGAAAAAGAGACAGAAGAGATTGGATTTATACCCCACCCTTCACTACCCGAAGGAGCCTCAGAGCACCTTACAATCTCCTTTCCCTTCCCCTCCTCACAACAGACACCCTGTGAGGCAGGCTGGGCTGAGAGAGCTCTTTCGAGAACTGCTCGTGAGAGAACAACTCTGAAAGAACTTGTGACTGACCCAAGGTCACACCAGGAACTGCCGTGGAGTAGTGGGGGAATCAAACCCGGTTCTCCCAGATCAGAGTCCACGCCCCTAACCATGACACTATTCCGCCCTGATCATAAGAACCAAACTGGAGGGTCAGGCATCACACCCTGTTCTCCAAAGTGGCACACTGGCACAGGGCCCTTTTCTTCAGCCACTGGTTCCTGTTTTTTACCTCTGGGCTGAAATGTCTCCAATCCCGCCTTTAATTGCTCCCCTTCCCAGCACCCTAGTCTCTGTATAATACATTCATTTACAGACCGGAGTGAGCAAAAGAAAATTTAAGCCTCAGATGTACCTTTGGACATTAGATTTAGTCGCTGCTGGATGTGAGCAAGTGTTTTACCTTCCTATAGGTTCGAGTTTCCTACTATGGTCCAACAGGAGAGATACTTGCCAATGCTTTGCTGTACCTGACTTTCGTGGGTAAGTAATAACATGAGTCTGAGATGCACGCAGGCGTTGCGATGCAGTTCTGCATTCCTGAAGAATGAAGTCCTAAATTGGATACTGCATACATTGAGGAATGGGTATCACCCACCTCTCAGGGTCTCCAGGACGTCGTGATCTTGACTTCGCAGTTTAATACTTCATGCTGTCCATGTTCCTATCCTGCCAGGCTTGGGGACTGGATTTGCTTGCCACATTGTGGAACGACTAGGCCAAAACCACTGCAGCCCTCGCTCACTCATGGACAGTGAAACGCCTGCAGAAACACCAAGAGAATCTCTCATGTCTGGGAAAAGAAGTGCGGTTTGGGAAATGTCCCCTTTTCACAACATCCCTGGTCTATACATTAATTTATTTAGAACATCTTCTATGCTGTCTTTCCACTCAGTTCAGGATCCCCAAGGCAGCAAACATTTTCAAACATTAAAAGACTATTTAAGATACAAATATAATGTCTAAAACAATTAAATAAAATACATGAACAGGGAGGAGGGCTCATAAGCATTAAAGAGGGAACGCCAAACAAGAAAATCTTCACTCACTGGCGTGGGAGACAATGATAGAGAGAGACAGCTGCATCTCCTGGGGGAGAGAATTCCAAAATTTTGGTGCCACAACTGAGAAGGCCCTTTGAGTTGCTGTCTGTCTAGCCTCAGATGGTGGGAGAACCTGAAGCATGGCCTCTGAAGACGAACCAAGTGGTCAGAAAGGTTCATGTGGGGGGAGTGTGCCATCCCATATATTAGAAGAAGAAGGATTGGATTTATACCCCGCCCTTCACTACCCAAAGGAGTCTCAGAGTGGCTTACAAACTCCTTTCCCTCCCCCTCCCCACAACAAACACCCCCTGTGAGGCAGGTGGGGCTGAGAGACCTCTGACAAAAACTGCTCTTTTTCAAGGACAGCTCTTATCAAAGCTACGGCTTGCCCAAGGTCATCCAGCCAGGTGCAAGTGGAGGAGGAGTGGGGAACCAAACCCGGTTCTCCCAGGTTAGAGTCCACGCACTTAATCACCATGCCAGACTGGCTCTGGCAGGGAGCTCTCGTTTCTCTGAAAGAAACCCCCATCGTAGAAATTACTTGGCAGTTCTACATGGCGTATCGCTGTATTTTGTTGCTTTAAAAAAGGTCCCGTGGCTCTCCTTCTGTTTCTCCCATCGAGCTGCTTGGATCCTTCTTTGGAGAGGAGACGGTTCTCCAAAACAGGGCTTGAAAGGGCTGTCTGGTTTTATGCACAGTGTCAAATATAGCCAGGAGGAGATACTTATATTTTAATTTTGGCTTTGTCTTAGCTATTTCTCTGAATGCTGATACCAACCGAAATGGAGTGGTGCAGACCAATTCAACCAACAAGGTAACAGATGGATTTTTATTCTCGGGGAGGGGGGTTGAGGCACAGAGGGCTTCAGTACCGAGCACCAAATCCAAGGGGTCCGTGCAACTAGAAGCAGACTGACTTCTTGGCACAGTACCTGTGAGCCAGAAAACAGACTGAAGTTCACAAGTGAAGAATTCTGTCCAAAGCAGGTATAAAGAGGGAGATACTACCTGTTGGGCCGTCTTCTGCAAAGACTAAGCTTGCAAAATCTTCTCCAACACGTGAAACCAGGTCTCATGAATGTTCCAGTACACATTCAGTTTGGTGTAGTGGTTAGAAGCACAGACGCTAATCTGGGAGAACCGGGTTTGATTCCCCACTCCTGCACATGCAGCTGCTGGTGTGACCTTGGGTTCAGTGTTCCCTCTAAACTGAGTTAGTGTGAGCTTGCTCACAGTTTTTTAGCCTCTGGCTCACATGTTTTTGTCTTAGCTCAGGGAGGATGGCTCCAGAGCAAACTTATTGATGTAGTAGCCAAATTGCTTGCTCACAACTTTAATGCCAGTAGCTCACAGAGTAGAATTTTTGCTCACAGGACTCCACAGTTTAGAGGGAGCATTGCTTTGGTTAGTTACAAGTTCTTTCAGAGGTATTCTCTCAAGGGCAGTTCTCTCAGAGCTCTCTCAGCCCCACCTACCTCACAGGGTATCTGTTGTGGGGAGGGGAAGAGAAAGGAGATTGTAAGACGCTCTGAGACTCCTTCTGGTAGTGAAGGGTGGGATATAAAACCAATCTCTTCTTTCCTCCTTTTATTATGGTAGGGTAGAGCCATGTTTTGGGAAAGTGGATTGGCCATTGGCCCGATCCAACATTGGCTTTTCTTATGTTCTTATGTGGATGTGATGAGTCACAATATTTGGGAACATTTCCAATTTTTGTTTACAACTTCAGTTCAAATTGTGCACATCCATGGGCAGATTGAAATCATATTGATTTCCAAATGAGGGTTGGTGGATTCCAGTCATGTGACTTCACCCTGGAAAAAGATATGCACACAAAAAAGGGAGAGACAAAGCCCCCGCTCACTGGATCTTCTCTTCCTCTTTTTCCATTTCCTCAACAGAAAAAATGGACCTGGGGCCCCAATGGGAAAGGAGCCGTTTTGCTGGTGAATTGTGACCGGGATGGCCCGAGCTTTGGGAACATGGACAGTGCTTACTCACACGTGCGATCCCAGGAAGGTATTCACCGGGGCCAAGGGTTACGCTAAGCAGACAGGGAGGGGGGCACAGTTTGTAGGCAGGAAAATCTATCCTTTAGTTGTCTCCTGCGTCTTCCAGCCAATCCTGGGCAGGTGTCCTGAGCAGTCAAGAAAATTATCTGGGTCTCTTGTCTGCTACGTTAGGCAGTGGTCTCCCTTTCTGGACTCATCCAGTCTGGCCATTCTGATTCACAATGCAGCCAACTTGAAACTGCTGTCGTGCGCTCTGTGCGGAGCTGCCCTTGAAATCAGTTTGGAAACTTCAGTGGGTCCAAAAGGCAGCAGCCCGTTTTTAATCCGTGGTGAGCTATTGTGCTCAGACTGCTGTGATTCCAAACTGGCTGCCTGTAGGTTTCCAGATTTCATTCAAGGTGCTGGCGCTTACCTTGGAAGTCTGTCCTCCTGACCAGGGAGCCACATTCTTGAAGAATTGCCTCTTGGGCCTTTTCCCCCCAGCCTCCGTGCTTTGGCGCTCCCCCCCCCCCCCCGGAGTAAGGAAAGTCCCACCTTGGTAGTGTTCAAGAGAGGCGGTAAGACTGAGCTCTTTTGGAGGGTCAGGGGGGGTCTAGAACTCAAAAGAAGTGGATTTTGTGTCTTTGGCGGGGGTTGCTAGATGTGTTCTCGTTTGTTGTTTTTAATCTCCTGCCTTGAGTCCCAAGTGCTGGGAGAAAGATGGGCTTATCAAGAAATATAAACACATAACCAGAGAACAGACCCTGCCTGTCTACTAGCCTGCATTCTTCATTCATTCTCACCTAATCGGAATGGTGAACATAAACCCCTGCCCATGGGACCAATACAGTGGCCACTCAGGGCCTTCAACTCCCACGGCTTCAGAAGAAGTTTCATGCACACACCTTCACTTCAGAGACTTCCCTGGTTATTTCCTAACATGGTTTTCAAGAGGTAACCCAAAGAGTCACCGTCACTGATAAGGACTCTTTGGAGGAGCAGCTGTTGCACAGCCCAGCCTTTGCCTCTTTTCCCCCCAAGACCTGCAAGACATGTCCCTCGTGATCCTGACCACCGAAGGCCCGGCTGGCGTCTTTGAGAACCATAAGCTGCTTCTTCAGGTCTCCGTGTCTGACGCATCCAAACTGAGAGTTTTCCATGATGGAGGTGAGATCTCATTGCTCTGTGCTAATGTCTGCTCTCTTTGTCTGGTGGAGGGGCCAGATACGGATGCTTCTGGCGGGTTTAATGAAGAGGGGTAGGGTACCATTCATATCCTAAATAAAGCATCACTCCCTGAACCCCTGATGCCTTTCCCTCTGCTTTTGCATCGCAAGTGTCCAAGAGAGTGCCTACCCTGACCATTTAAACCCGTTTAAAACCACTCTCTGATTTTTCAAGGAACACTCCAGACTTATCCAACTGCTCGGGAGGAAGAGAGCGTCTGACACTGCATGGTTGTGTGGTTTCTTTCCTCTTCTCTTACCCAGTCTTCAGGGAAAATGTTTGATACTTCTGTGTCCCTGTGCTCCCTCTTGCTGCAGGCAACGCTTCTCTCTCCAGTTACAAGCCTGTGTTGGGGCCCGATAAGCTCTCCTACACAGTGGACGTCTCCGGTGGTGGAAAACAGCAGAGGTCCTTCTTTGTGGAGGGCCTGGCCTTCCCCGATGCTGGCTTTGAAGGGCTGCTTTACTTGAACGCCACACTTCTGGAGGCCTCTGGTCAGGTACGGCGCTGGAGGGGGTGGCGGGGGAAGTGTGCATGTGGCTGGTGGTGGAGCAGAGGTGGCGGTGTGGTCACGGCCCACGTAGCCTGATATAGGAGCGGCCACGGCTTTGTGGTACAGGACACGGTACAGAGGAAGAGCTTTCCAAAGGCTGCGTGTTCAGTCTCCAGCAATCTCCCTGGAAAATTCTTCTGCCTGAGATTTTATTTATTTATTTATTTATTTAAAAAATTATGTCCCACCTTTCCTCTTGGTTCAAGGTGGCTAACAATAATAGTTAGGACATCCCCAGATAAAACTAAAGATAACATAAAGGTAAAGGTTTCCTGTGCTTGAAATCCAGTAAACGGGATTTTCAATCTCCTATCAGCTCATCCAATGAGTTGCCAGAAGGCATCGGTTCCCGTAGAGTATTCCGGAGCCCAACTGGGTCCATTAGTCTCTGTGAGTGAGCATAAATTACCTTGCTGCCTAGTTGGGGAGGGGTCAAAATGCCCAACTGGGTCTTCAGAACTAAGTGATCTGATCACGGCACGTCCTCCTTTGAAGTCAGATCAACTTCCATCCCCATACCAAAGTTCAAATCCAGTGTGTGGCCCGCTCAATGTGTGGGACCTGATACAAATTGGGAGAACCCCAGTGCTGCCATGAAGGACACCAAGTCCAAGGCTTGAATGGAGGCAGTAGCTTCATCAGCATGGATGCTGAAGTCCCTGAGGATTAACAACCTTGAAGACACCCTGTGAGGTGGGTGGGGCTGAGAGAGCTCTTTCCAGAACTGCCCTTTCAAGGTCAGCTCTGAGAGAACTACAGCTTGCCCAAGGTCATCCGGCCAGGTGCAAGTGGAGGAGTGGAGAACCAAACCCGGTTCTCCCATATTTGAGTCCGCGCACTTAACCACTACACCAAACTACTACACCACCACGGCCCCTCAAAAATAAAACAGCAAACCCCAAATGCCTCTCTCCTTCCCTCCTTAAAACATGCCTGCCATTCACCATTCCCCCCTAAAAAAAACACCCTGGCAAATAGGCAGCCCCTCCTGAAGGTCTCCAAGGAGGGGTTCCTCCCTCACCTCTTCAGGGAGCCCATTCAACAGAAAAGGCCTCTGGGCTCTGGTCAATGCCAGACGGGCCACCCTAAGTGGTGGAATAGCCAACAGAGGGCTGCCTGACAACTGTAGTTGGTGCACAGGGGCCTATGGAAGGGTGTGCCTTCACATGCGTGGGTCCCAGGTCACGAAGACACTGGAAAGACACTGGCATTGATGGCGGACTGAAAAGTACTGAGAAGCGTTGAGTGATTTCAGCAAAGTACTTTTATTAGGATAGAACAAGACAAGGAACAGCCGGCTCGCAGGCCGGTTTATATGCCCCAAAACCCACCACCTAAAACACACCCACTATTATCTTATAGGCTATTTACAGTGGCCGAGAGTCCCATTGGCTCCCAGCCGCGAACCTGGCCCTCTGATAGGTGCGGGCTAGGATCCGCTTGGCTATTGTCCTGAAAGAGTGAAGCTCCAATGTTCGGCATGACCGCATGGCCCAACGGTCGCGCACGTGGTCATGGCGGAGTACATTACACGGACGGTACTGGACTAGATGGAGCAGTGGTCTGACTCCACAGAACACAACTTCCTTTGCTCAGCACTGTAGTCCACAGGGGTCCTCCTTGTAGCTTTTTTAAATGCTCTCTCCCCGTTTGCTTTCCACAGAATTCTCTAGACACCCCTGTTTTCTCAGACACGGTGGTTTTCCGAGTGGCCCCTTGGATAATGACACCCAATACAATGAAGCCCTTAGAGGTCTTTGTCTGCAGGTAAGGGGGGGTGCGAATGGTGCTCAGTTTTGGGGGTGCTGGAATTGCTTAAGATACTAAAGCCAGTTTTTCAAATGAAGCTTGTTCAGTTGTTCTGCCAGACTGGATATTGGGTCCAAGAACTGCAGTCCTCCCATGGGATTCTGGGATCGGGTGTGACAGCACAAGGAATAAGCCCTGGGAAATGAGCGGGACCGTGATTGCCAAACTAATCTGGAATGGGGTTTAAATTTGCAGTCGAGGCTCAATTGCCTCCCAGGTGGAGGGAACTGCCCTCTTTGTGGACTCTTCCTTTTCTCTCCAGCTTTGAGAAACAATCCTTGCCCAACAAGAGCTTTGTGGAGGCTGTTAGAACTCTGGCCAAGGAAGCCAATTGCAAGCTGACAGTTTGCCCGAAGGAAGAAAACTGGGGTGACCAATGGATCCAGGTATCGTCCTTGACACTGAGCAAGAATAGGGGTGCAGGGAAAAGTCAGGGGGGGCAGCAGAAGTCCATTAAGCACACGCAAAGTCCGGTTGATCCAAGCAGACAAGCTAAGCCTCGTACTTGTAATGTATAAGGCTGTTATGTGAATTTCTTTGTTAAAATAATAATTGCTAATGGCCAGGGATATTTGGCTGATATCTTTCAATCTAAAATTACAAAAGACACCAGTATTTTCAATACAGGGAAGCAGTCCTAGGAAGGGAGCCACCCAGGAATAATCACCCATCAACCTGGGGAGTGGAATGAGTCAACTCCTCTTTTCCCAACAGTGTGTGTATCTATATCTATATCCAGGGGTCGTTTCGTAGAAAAAGAGGTGCAGGAGCCCATTAGCACAACTCATTACCATAACTTATTTGCATATGCCACACCCCCTGGCATCAAAGGAAGTGTGTCAGAAGGCAACACCCACTGCTCAGGCGCCACTGGACTGTTTTGGATTCCTAGCTATGGGGGGGGGGGAGGAGAACGTGCAGATCTGTCCTCGCAGAGGAGGGAGAGCTTGTACCTGAATAAAACTTGGTCTTAAAGGTGCCACTAAACTGTTTGGGGCGGGGGGGGGGCTCTGCAACTTACCTGGCTGCTTCTTGCTCTGACTGAGGGCTGCTGGGAGCAGGGGGTGGGGCTTGTTGCATGTGCCCGCCCCCTGGACTCTTTACTGCCGGAGTTCCGCTCCTGTGCGCTCCTGCAGGAAATGACCCCTGTCTATATCTATATCTGTCTATACACATGCATACAAGAAGATAGATAGACAGACAGACAGACAGAAATGGGAACGCTAATCCTCTTTTTTTCTGCCAACAGGATGAGATGGAGTTTGGTTACATGGAAGCTCCCCATAAGTTGTTCCCGGTGGTCTTTGACTCTCCCAGGAACAGAGACCTGGACGCATATGTTAAGAAGTTCCTGGTAAGGGAAGGGCTCCTCAGCGTGTTGTTTCCATTATTGGGGAGTGGTCCTTCCTTCCCTCAATCATGCCTAGAAACACTGGGATGACATTATTACTCCATCCTTCCTTCAAAGAGCTCGGGGGAGGGGTCTTGTGGGGGCCCCCACCTTTTAATCCTTATATAAAAATCCTACGAGGTAGATTGGAGCGAAAGAATGATTGGCCCAAAGTTACTAAGCTGAGGCCTGAACTAGACACACACATGCATCCCTTCAAGGGGGCAAATTTTATTCATTCATTCATTCGATTTATACCCCACCCTCCCTGCCAAAGCAGGCTCAGGGTGGCTGTTTTGGCTCAGAAAGCAGCACGGGGGGAAGGCACAGGCCCCTCATCCTCTTGCACCACCATCCCAAACTGAATCAGGTCCTGCAGCACTTGGGGAAATCAGTTCCTGGGGTGCCAGGTCCCCCTTGGCCTCCAGTGGTGGGTGAGGGTTAGGGTTGCCAGGTCCAGGTTGGGAAACTCCTGGAGATTTGGGGGTGGAACCAATGCCCCACAGTCCCCCCTCCAAAGCATCCATTTTCTCCAGGGGAACTGATCTCTGTAGTAGGGAGATGAGCTGTAATTCTGGGGCATCCCTATGGCTGTGAGGAAGGCAAGTTGGGTTGGGCAGAACCCTGACCCAACTCTTGGACAATTGTCTCGTCTAGTTTGGGCCTGAGAGAGGATTTGAATTTGGATCTTCCCAGTCTCTGTAAACTCAGTATCATGCTGGTTGGCTGTTTACAGCAGGAGAGCAGAGAGATTACAGAGGAGTTAATTGCTGAGGAGGAATATGAATCTTAAGTCTTTCCAGTCCAGGCCTGTAGCCACAGTGGGGCATTTCGGGGCTTTGCCCCCTTAATTAAAAGCCCCGCCCCACAAATAGCCATGCCAGAAACCTTATTTTTGACCATGATGACCTAGGTGGCAACTGGGCTAGCAAAAAGGGGGATTGTTGGAGTTGTGTTGAAAGTGTCCTCCTAAGCTTTTTTGCCCTGTGGAAGGGAACGCAAAGGGCATTTAAATGCCTTCTAAAGGCAATTAAATGCACTCTGAGCTGTTTTTTCCCTAGGAATTGACATGCTCTTTGCCCCGCCCCTTGAAAGGAAGGGATAGAAACAGGCTCAAAGCCTCCCCCCTTAAAAGACAGGCATTCAGATTAATTTAATTAACTGTAATTTAAGTGCCCCCATAAAAATTTAAATGCTCCCCAAACTCAAAAATCCTGGCTAGGGGCCCGTTCCAGTCCAAGTCCAGCTATCCCCCTTCCACACCACATCAACTGTCCTAAACAGTTCTGTGGCCGGGTAGTGGTATTTCCCCTCCTTTGGCATTGAAAAGGGGCTTCTGCAGACCAGCAAAAGGTTAAAGACCCAGCTTTCCACTGTGAAAAGACTTCCTTTTGATTCTTGCCTACCCACTACTTTTCAATGTCTTATTCTGTTCCGAGGGACCTGATTTTGGGTATGTGACCCGAGAGCCTAAGAATCAGTCAGACGTCTCCGACCTGGACTCATTTGGAAACCTGGACGTGAGCCCTCCGGTGACGGTAGAGGGGAAGGAATATCCTCTGGGGAGAATCCTCATTGGGAACAGTCTCCCAGGAGCTCTTGAAGGGTAGGAAGAATGCACATTGCCTCTTAAACATCCAGTGAATCCGTGGGCTTCCGGATTGCCAGTGGCTTAGGCTTTGCATGTCCGTGGGGAACAGAGAACTGTGGAGAGCGGGACAACTGGGGACAACCAACGTCTGTGACCCAGAGGCCAGAAGCATCCCAGGGGTCAGCCATGATGAGTTTCCATTACTAAATGAGGCCGTCTAGCAGGAAAAGTATCATTGTTATGGAGCACATGAGCACAGGGTTCATATTAATATGCGCATTTATATGGTACATATATGTTCCTCTAAATTTTTTTACAAAGGAGTATATTGTACATCAAAGAACATTGTGCCCTTCCCCCTACAAGATAAAGTATGCCAAACTTTTAAAGTGAACCTGGCTAAAATTTGGCATGGCAGCCAATACTGCCAGGAGAGAAAAAAAAAGTTGCTTTGAGGGATGTCTCCGGCACACGCAAAGGCCATTTGCATTCTCTGGTTGGAACCATGAGAGGGAGTCTGCATCAGTGTTCCCTCTAAGCTGAGTTAGCGTGAGCTAGCTCACAGTTTTTTAGCTTCCGGCTCACACGTTTTTGCCTTAGCTCAGGAAGGAGGGCTCCAGAGCAAGCTAATTTATGCAGTAGCCAAATTGCTCGCTCACAACTTGGATGCCAGGAACTCACAAAGTAGAATTTTTGCTCACAGGGCTCCACACCTTAGAGGGAACATTGGTCTGCATCAGCCAATTTTCCTGAACATCCACCTGTGTAGTAGTAGGGTCTGTGCTGGGTAGGCCAGCAGTAACACTGGAGGTGTTTGCAAGGGTGTCATAAGGGATTATTCCGAAAGGAAAACATTAACTGTATTTTACAAAATGTATTTATTTATTTTTCAAATTTCTACCCCAGCCTCACGGGGAATAGTTTCTCTTTTCATCCCTTATTCTCTTTTCATCCTTCCTCGTCTCCTAGGGCTGGTAGCAGGAAAATGTCCCAGGTTGTCAGGGACTTCCTCTACGCCCAGAAAGTCCAGTCCCCAGTGGAACTCTATTCTGACTGGCTCAGTGTGGGGCATGTGGATGAATTCTTGACCTTTGTTCCAGCTCCTGACAGGAAGGTACTGATCTGCAAGAAGATGGTTTAATTCTTACGATGCTTCAGTTCTCCATTAATCCTAGCCTGGGGTGGCTTTTACCAACCCATCCTGCCATTTCTTCGGGCTCCCTGAGTCCCTGGTCAGCAACAGCTGATGGCCACCAGCCCTGTTCTCAGCGCTGGAGTGAAGTCTTCACCTAGAATCATAAGAAGAGCTCTGCTGGATCAGACCAAAGGTCCACCTAGTCCAGCTGTTTTGGCTGAGGAAAGCAGTGTAGAGGTGGAAGGCACAGGCTCTGAGGCCAACGGTGGCCTGCCAGACACTTACAAGCCCGTGAGCAGGGTGTGAAGGCAGCATCCCTCCCCTGTTGTCAGTTCTCTGCATTCAGTACTCAAGGATCCACTGCCTCTGGACTGGGAGATTCCCTTTAACTATAATAAGAGCCATTGACAAGCCTTATCCTCAGTGAAATCGCCTAATTCACAGAAGAGGGCTTTTAATGCCAAAAAAATGTTCCGTTTCATTGTCTGTCTTCCATAATCAAAACCTGCCCCGGATGTGTACATTCCGTGGCCTTTTGTTTAAGAAGCTGGGATGTTTACCAATTTTGTCTTTGTCCGTGCAGGGTTTCAGGTTGCTTCTCGCCAGCCCCTTTGCCTGTTATAAGCTGTTCAAAGAGAAGCAAAGTGAAGGTTATGGAGATGTCCTCCTTGAAAGTGAGTCAAGAGTTTGTTTTCTTCCTCGATAGTCAACCACCCTGGTCAACAGGGCTTACTTGTTACATTTATCTCCCCTGTAGGCTCAAATAAAGAAAGGAAAAAGACTATTGATGAGATCCTCAAGAACAAAACCTATTACAGAGACAACACATATGCGCAGGTAAAATTTCATTGAAGTGCTGCAGTTTTCTAGATCTCCACTTACAAATAAATCTCTCAGTGGAGGCTGTATTGCAGGGGGTCACCAGCCTTTTTGAGCCTGGGGGCACCTTTGGGATTCGGACATGGGATGGTGAAGTCAGCCACAAAATGGTGGCCATAGGAGGCAGAGCAATACAAACAAAAAAGGATACCCAAGTGCAGGGACAAGAGAAGCAATTACAAAAAATACACTGGGGAAGAAGAGTGAATGAGAGAGAAAAACCTACTTTGTGGAGACAGCTACCGCAAATATAAGAACATAAGAGACACCAATGTTGGATCAGGCCAAAGGCCCATCCAACACTCTGTGTCACACAGTGGCCAGAAATACCAGGTGCCATTGGGAGGTCCACCAGTGGGGCCAGGAGACCAGAAGCCCTCCCACTGTTGCCCCCCCCCCAGCACCAAGAAGACAGAGCATCACTTGCCCCAGAGCCCCTATCTATTCCTTGTGTCTAATAGCCACTGATGGACCTCTGCTATTAATATAATATAATATAATATAATATAATATAATATAATATAAGTTATTTCAATTCTCACAGCCAATTAGAACTCCAGTTGGCCAATTAAAAGCCCTGCTGCGTAGGTCACCTGGCCCCACCCGCTTTTCAAAAACACTTGGCACGCACAGCTTGGTGAAGTGGTTAAGTGTGCAGGCTCTAATCTGGGAGAACCGGGTTTGATTCCCCACTCCTTCACTTGCAGCTGCTGGATGACCTTGGACAAGCTGTAGTTCTGTCAGAGCTGTCCTTGAAAGGGCAGTTCTTGAAAGAGCTCTCTCCATTTTGGGGATCCCTGCTGTATTGGAATAGAATATTACACGCTCTAAAATTCTGACTGTGATGAAGTGGGGGAGAAGGCTGCGAAGATGTTTCACAAATGCTGGGGAGCAAAGTGGCAGAGCCTTGGGGTATAAAAACAGACAGCATCTTTTCAGGATTTCACATTTTGGTGTGCTGCCTTATGTTAAAAACTCCCTGAAGACAGAAAACTATTATGGCAAACAAACAGAAGGACTTTCCTCCGTCTTCTGCTCTCTTCCTCTTTGCATGGAGAATATTGTCGTGCAAAGAAGCATCCAAACGTGGAGATTTCACGACTGTTAAACAGATAAATGCCATTTATAAAAGAGGAGATTGATACAATATAGGGAAAGGAAGCAGATGGAGGCATCGTGTCCTTAAGCAAACCACGCTCTGCCTCAACCACATATTGGCAATATGGGGGAACTAGCACTGGACTACCTTTCAGGGTTGTTGGACATGTATGTGAAGCACTTTGGATGCTGAAAGTGCTATATAAATGTGAGATGTTATTACTGAGAGAGGCAAGTGGGTGCACATGTGCCAGTATTTTTCAGCCAGACATCCCGGGAGTCAGTGTTGCTGCCACCAGAATGGGAAGGCTGCTGTCCCCTTACCAGAGCCCCCCAGATTTTTACCTAATCTGTGGAAGTGTTTTAATGTTTTCACTGGTATATACAAACAAATATATCATATCTGGGTCCCAAACAAACTAAAACTTGGAAATTATTATCCTCCAGGAAATTTGGAAGAGACGCCCAATACATTTGAGTTAAAAATGGACAGAACTCGAAAACTTTCTTCAAATTCCTAGACCAACCCAAGGAGTTCTTTGCAAAAAAAAAAGTTGTTGTTAATAAAAGCTCTTATTTTACTTTTACCTCCATGTATTGGCCACACTCACTCTGAGAATTAAGGAGCTGGACAATCTAGTTTGAGGCATTCCTTGTCTCCACAAAGATTTTAAGAAGCTACTAGTGAACAGTTGCTTTGTTGAACATGGATGAAAGGCACTCCTGTTTATTGTGAAACAAAAAATATTTTAAAGCTGATGTGCCTTTTCAAGAAACATCCCGCCTTGTCTGATCCAGTTTGGTGTGGTGGTTAGGAGCGCAGTCTCTAATCTTGGGGAACCGGGTTTGATTCCCCACTCCTCCTCCACATGCAGCTGCTGGTGTGACCTTGGGTCAGTCACAAGTTCTCTCAGAGCTGTTCTCTCAGAGCTCTCTCGGCACTTACGTCACAGAGTGTCTGTTGTGGGGAGGGGAAGGGGAAGGAAATTGCAAGTCGCTCTGGGACTCCATTGGGTAGTGAAGGGCAGGGTATCAATCCAATCTCCTCCTCCTCCTCTTCTTCTTCTGTAATATCTTCTAGTAGTTAACACACCTTCATGGCTGATGGAGTTCAAACATAAACAGGTTCAAATTTGGGTTTTTTTAATATTTGGTGTCTGTAATTCAGAGGTTAAAAACCGACTGGCTTGTTCCTCTGAGGCAAAACTATCTAAATGTGGCATTGGAGAGGCATTGTCATTTTTTAAAGATGCCCTTTTTTGGTGTAATTGTGAGTTTAATACTAACAGAGACTGTCGCTTGAGGCAAACTGTGAATTTTTTAAAAACTGCACATTAGTTCAGAGTTGGACATGTAGCACAGCTGATTGTGACAAAAAGCAAACATTTGTGAGATGGTGAGATAAAAGTAATTCATGAGTTCATATACATTTTGCCATTCATCAGGCTGGCTTACCTTTCTTTAGAATATATTAAACTTTGTTGAGATGAGGCTGCCTTGAGCCAAGAAGAAAGGTGGGGTTTCAATATTTTAGTAAATAAATAAATATAAAACATAACCAGAGGTAAAAAAATCTCCTGAGGAAAAATATTGACCAACGCTGAGGGTGGGTGCTGCTGACCCTGCGTGAAGACTTGTAGCCTTGGGCCTGGAGGTGAACATCTGGATGTCGGGGCACGACCCTCTTCTCTTCCTTCCAGAAATGCATTGACTGGAACCGCTGTATCCTCAAGCGGAAGCTGGGCCTGAGCGAAGGAGACATCATCGACATCCCGCAGCTCTTCACTCTAAACTGGTCCAGAGCAGAGGCCGCCTTCCCAAACATGGTGAGACGCCCAACCACCTGCTGTCTTTCTTATCCACCAAGGCGGGACGTAAGCGCCCATGCAGGCTGTCTGTGGGGACTTGCCTAGCCTGCTCAGAATGGTGGTTTTCATTCCCCTTCTGCCTGGTGGGAAATCGGTTACCGTGCTCATTTGTTGTGAATACGCAGTGCTGAGGAAACATGCAGCCTTCTTGAGGGAGAAGCGTTAATACAATCAGGGGTCATTTCATAGAAAAAGAGGTGCAGGAGCTCATTAGCATTACTTATTTGCATATGCCACACCCCCTGACCTCACCGGAAGTGTGTCAGAAGGCACTCCACTGGACTGTTTTGGATTGCTAGCTATGGGGGGGACGGGACGTGCAAATCTTCCCTCGCAGAGGAGGGAGAGCTTGTACCTGAATAAAACTTGGTCTTAAAGGTGCCAATGGACTGTTTTGGACCGGGGGACCCGGTGGGGGGGGCTCTGCAGCTTACCCGGCTGCTTCTGAGGTAAGCTGCAGAGGGCTGCTGGGAACAGGGGGTGGGGCTTGTTGCATGTGCCTGCCCCCTGGGCTCTTTACTGCCGGAGCTCCCCTCCTGTGTGCTCCTGCAGGAAATGACCCCTGAAATACTTTGTCTAAATGAAACCTCTGTGATCTGATTACCAGATGCTGGAGACAGACAAGGAGGGGACAGGGCAGCCGTCACATTCTTGTCTTGCTTATGAGTTTCCCAAATGCACCCAACCTGGCCACCTTTTTGAACAGAATGCTGGCCTTTGTCCTGATCCAGTGGGCCAGGTCAAGTCTCAGATTCCTCTTTCAGTTACCTTCCCTCTCCACCTTCCTGTTTGCCTTTAAAAAAGCGTTGGCAACCGGGTATCTTGCTGCATTTTCAGCAGTTGCGTTCTGGCAGCTTTGCTGCTGATCCGTCGCTGAGACTCAGGAGGAGCTAAGACACAAATCAGGACATACTTCAGCATTTGCTTCCTCGGCCAGTAAACGTTTTGTCATTCAGCATCAAAGCATCCGTTGTGCTGTTCTAATAACACAATAGTGACAAAAGGTGTTCTCTTTCCTTATGTGGCAACAAAATTGGTATTGGTTTTATACCAGCTTCACTGACACAGCATTGCCAACACATCCTGGGAATATTCATTTGGAGAGAATGCTTAACAAATCTTGCCGAGTGACAACTTCCAGGATTCTTCGGCCAGAAACAATGACAGTTATTTCCTCTCCATGATACATTAGTTTTTCTGGGGTGGTGGTGGTGTGTGTGTACAGTATCCACACTTGATGGGGACAATTCCAGCAGTTAAAATCTTTAGTGTGGCTCTACCCCAATTTGGGTGTTTACCAGCAGGTGGCGTTCAGGTGCATGGAAACCTTGGTAGGGGAGTTCTTGGCTGAAACCAGCACTGACCACTGTTCTTCTAATCCTTGTAGGTCAACATGCTCGTGCTGGGGAAACACCTGGGCATCCCAAAACCGTTTGGCCCCATCATTGATGGGCAGTGCTGCCTGGAAGCAGAGGTCCGTTCCCTCCTGGAACCACTGGGCCTCACCTGCACCTTTATTAATGACTTTTTCTTCTACCATGTGGACCAAGGAGAAGTTCACTGTGGCACCAACGTCCGCCGGGAACCGTTCTCCTTCCACTGGTGGAACATAGTCCCCTGAATCAGTGTGTTGAGGGGCTAGAGTTCTGGAGCCCTAACTTTTTTTCAGCACTTTGTATAAAGGAGAGAGGATGACTGGCGTAAAAGATTTTGTGAAGAGAGTGGGAGAACTGGAGAAAGGAAAGGGGGAAAACAACCCATAACTCCTCAAGCCTTGGATTTTTTTTTTTTATATGAGGGACAATCTGGGATTAAACCCCCTTGAAATTAGTAGGGCACCAAACTTTATAAAACAATTAAATGATTTTTTGGAAGACATGAGGGCTTTGGAAGATTGGGGGATTTTGATCTTTAAATTTACAGTGATATGTGCACTTGCTGAAAAGTCCCGCTTACTGTGGAGTAAATAGACTCATGCGTGCTTTATAATTTTATTTTTCTTATGCCACCTCTCTTTTTGCAGCACCCATTGTCACAATATAATAGAATAAAAATGAAACTTTCCCACAAAGCTTTATGGAATGAGCAAAGTTTGTTCTACGGGACAGAACTGTTTAAAAATAAATATACTTCCAAAGCATTCTAGAAAGGGTAGATGATGTTTAATTTTTGAAAAAGAATATGGTGGGCCTCAGTCTGCCCAGAAACCACAGCCTCTCTTCTGAAAGAGATGCGTAATTATTGTGATGTTTTGCGGTGACGAAAAAGACGGTGTTTTAGCATTACACAGTGTCATACATGATTGTGAGAAAAGGGAAGACCTGGTTCAACTGACTAGTTCAACTGACTAGTTTATCCCATTGAATGATGAGCTGCATATTACTCAGAACTAGCTACACAAGGCAATTACTGAAACAGCCATGAGATGAGGTGTGGTTGGCGGGGGACAGGAAGTCCCCCACTTTAAAATGGCGGCATTGTTCTCACAGCAGCCACAAGGACGCCATGATATCTCATTCAGCCCTTAGAGAAAGCTCTGAGGCAGATGGCAGCCATTTTGGTTGAGCCACCGAGGAGAATTTTGCTGGATCTCTGTCTAACAGATGTGTAATGATTGCAATGTTTTGCAGTAGCAAAACTGAGGTGTTAATATAACTTTTCTGTGTGGGTTCTATGGGGCTACTTCAGAAACAGAACTGGCAAGACAAATTGATTTAAAATTTTAAAATCTTTAACTCAGCCTTTCCACCATACACAACAATGCAACAAAACTGACGCAGCGAACACATAAATATACCAGTAAACAGGAAATGCTGCAGACAGTGTCTCTGATGAGTTTCATTAAACAACTGGTCCGTGCTTTTAAAACTTTGTGGTGAGTTACATCCTACTTCTCAAGTCCACGAGGGTGCAGGATTCTCCTCATCCATTTATCTTTCAAATGGATTCAATCCAACAAACTGGATAACCCTGCAATCTGCCGCTTGAAAGAGACAGCCCTTGGTGGGAAAGAAATCAGCTTATATCAAGATGGACAAAAGATCAGCAAATAGGTATAATGGGGAGTCAGACAGCTTTAGATAAGAGTTGGATAAATACAAAGGAAAAGTTCATTAAAAAAATGTATAATTTTTGGATAGAATGGAAGATGGAGGATGAACAGATAAAACCATCAATGATAGCATGGATGCAGGATTGGGGCTATAATTTGGATATTGAGCAATGGGAAAAAGTATGGACAAGAAATATAAAATTTGTAAGAACATATGCTTTCAAGGAAAATATTATAAAGATGTTTTATAGATGGCATATCTCGCCAGCTAGGTTAAATAAATTTGATGGGAAAATAAGAAAAGAATGTTGGAAGTGTAAATATGGTATCGGTACTTTCTATCACATGTGGTGGTTGTGCTCTAAAACAAAGAAATACTGGGTTATGGTGAAAGGAATTATAGATACAATCCTACAAAAAGATTTTTCTTTGAAACCCGAGTGCTGTCTGTTAAGTGTGATACCTGATACTTATAAGGAAAAAGAGATATACTTAATTATACAAATATTAACGGCCGCCAGGATTGAGTTCGCAAAAAGATGGAAAGACGAGGATATTCCGACAAAAGATGATATTATTTGTAAATTACTCTATATTGCAGAAATGGAAAAATTAACCTATATAGTTGAAGAAAAAAATATGGAAAAATATGATAAATACTGGAAACGAGTTTATGAATGGTTAAAAGAGACACAGTTGGGTTAAGTTAATATTATTTTATGTATGCCGAACTTTTGATGCTAAAAAATTTATACGGTGGAAGATATCTGTGTATATATATATATATATTTGTTGATGAATTTTTGGATACCTTACGGTAGTGAGGTTTTGGCTGTTGAAAAACCAATAAAAAGAATGTTTAAAAAAAAAAGAAAGAGACAGCCCTTGTGCACAGTGTCAGGAGCCCAGGAAATCTAATTCAGCTCTTATCAACCTCCCCAGCAACCAGCCTCTTCCTCTCCCTTACGGGGCTAAACCGACTTCCTGCTCCTCATATAATAAGAAAGGGGAGTCTTTTCTGGTCGGGGTGATGCGCTAGGCTTGTTAGTCAGAAAAAGGAGGACCTGGATCAACAGAAGTAGTTCGGAAGATCAGACTTGTTACTCAGTACTGGCTAGACAGACAAAATACACACACAGAGAGAAAGCTCTGAGGCAGACGAGTCATTTTTGGTTCAGCGGCTGAGGAGAATTTTGCTGGGTCTTTGTCTAAGAAGGAGGGAGGAAATTGCTTCTTGGACTTTTGGGCAAAAGTACATCCATTTGCCCACTAGACCAGGGGTGGCCAAAACTGCTTAACGTAAGAATAAATGTCAGATGTTTGAGAGCCGCAAGACATGAACAAATATTACACACACGTTTTTATTGAAAAAATATGCAAATTTGCTTTTTAATAACATTAAGCGAGACTGCCAAAAATAAAAACAAAAGGGGTAAAAGCAGATATCGACAATGATATTTATTTGTCCAATGATATTTATTTGTCTAAGAGAGAGAGAAAGAGAGAGAAACAAAGAAAGCAAATAGATGGGGGAAGGAAGGAAGAGAAAAAGGTGGAAAGAAAGCAAATAGTTGGGGGAGGGAGCAAGGAAGGGGGAGAGAGAGAGAGAGAAATAAACAAAGAAAGCAGATAGATGGGGAGCCTGCCGAGAGCCGCACAATATGTGCGAAAGAGCCGCATGTGGCTCCTGAGCCACAGTCTGGCCACCCCTGCACTAGACAAATACACTGGGGGTGATTCTGCATCTAGCATTTGCGCTACATTTTCTCAACTGGGAGGAAAAAGTGCAGCTCAAAACCACATCCAAATACCTCGGGGCAACACTATATTGATTGCGGAGTCACCCCTGAACGGCCATAAAACGGCTATGCAGAAGGTTCAATTAAATCTGACGATCAAAGAACTCGAAAGCGGCATGGAGTGTGAACGCTGCCATAAAACCCATAATCAAAGGAAGTGAAACCAGCATGCAAAGCAGACGGGAATTTCTGTTTCAACGTGGGTTTCGTAAAACAACGGAGGGAAAAGCCAACGACAGAATCAGCCTGACACTCTATTCTGTTAAATACTTCTTATTTATTTATTTATTGCATTTATATCCCACCCATCCTGTAAACAGGCTCAGGGCAGGTCAGAACAATTCTTTGCTGGCATTAGGCAAGGGGTGCTTAGGTGGATGGCAGCCATTTGTTTGTTTCCTGTTCCACTGTGGAGAACATGACAAAAGGCCTGAATTGGTGAAAAGCCCTGTCTGTTACAATTTGACCACATTGCTCCAAAGCCACACCACCAATACACCCAAGTTTTCCATTCTTCTTCTGAAACAGTATTTTATTAGTAAGTGCCTAATATGGTGCTGGATGAAGTTAAAAACAGAACAAATGAGGAAAATTCCTCCCACCCTCAGGGTGCGGTCAGATGGCGTCTGGGAGCGGGTTAAACTGCTCCAACTCCATGCGGGTTTTTTTTTTAACCTGGAGAATCGCGATCACACTCACCTCCTTGCTCCAGATCGCTGCGCTGTTGTTTCTCTCACTCTCTCAGTTTGGGCATGCCCACAGGCAGCCATCTGTGGAACTAAAAGTTTTGCGCCCGCGCAGAACAGCGATTTCCACTTCAACCCGACTGCTGTAACACTTCCCTTTAAACTTTAAAGGAACACTTCCCTTTAAACGTTTACCACCGAAAATGGCGTCTCTGAGATCCCAAACTCGTCTAAAGGCTAAAACTAGGCACCATTTAAATATTGTTTTTAATAACCCTGTGGCGGTGCTCCGCCTATGCGCACACCACCAACGCTTTTTTAAAAATGGTGGGCGAAAAGTGGAAGCCTCGGGCAGCTTTCGAGCGGGGAGCAGGTTTAAACCGGAAGTGGCTCGACACTGGAGGTGCGATCACACAGGGGGAAAATGCGGCTGGAACTGGAGAAGCAGGAAAAAACCACTTGGGGACCTGGTGTCAAAATACTCCATTTTAAAGGGGGTTTGTGCTGGAAAGCGACGGCTGGGGTTGGGAGGCAGATGTTGGCTGTGTGATCACACGTAAATAGTCCGGCATGTATACCGGCTCGTATACCGGCTCAAATGGTTTTGAATTAGTTTACTACAGGCTACTTTATGGAGAGATTTACCATCATTTTTTATGTTCTCCCTGAAAGGGAGGCAGTTCATACCCATTTTACACATACATAACAATGACTGAGAGACTCTTGCCCAATTGGTCACACAGAGGTAGAACTTGAACACAGGACTCTCCAGATTCATCTGCCTAGTAACTGAACCACAGTCCCACCACTGTAATATTTATGTGTATTCAATAAAAATGTTTAAAACAGCTGGCTTTGTTAAATTTACCATTAAATATTACAGTTACCTTTATATAAAGCAATATTTAAGCACATTGAATGAAGCTGACAAGTTCTTCTCATATCTAATGAGGGTTGTCGTAAGTTGGCTGTGACTTGACGTCAAAAAAAAAGGGGGGGATGCAGTTCAGCCACATAAGCTGCTATTCAGGTGGCATACCGCTGTGTGGGAGGTCTGGGTGCTCTCTTCCCTGCTTCTTGGCCTTCTAGTTGGCGAAGTTGGGCGACGGGAGGCCAGGTTAGCCTGCCTGTTGGTCTGGTAATCCAGCAGCCCTCTTCTTACGCTCACACACACCTTTAACAGCCACCCATGGGAAAGAGGGAGGGAGGGAGCCACTTCCAGTGGAAGTGTTGTTGCTATTCCTATTCTGTCTGCTTGCAATGGTCTTGTGACTCTGGTCTTAATTGAATGGTAAACCCTCCAGGGCAGGGTGTTCTGTCTGTGCCGCTCGGGTCCACGTAGAAGCCGACATGAAGATCAGCGTATAATGGGGAATGAAGCAATCCTTGCGTGCTTGAGTCAGCTGCTCTCCCTTGGCAATTGGTTACGGATGCTAATTTATCTAGGGAAAGTGTCTGAGGTGGAGTGGATGAGGTCAGGGTCTGTCGGGAGTCCACATCCTTTGTGATACAAATCATCATTATATATAGATCATCATAATCATTTGATTGTCTCACACCTTTTTCTATTGAAAAGAAATTGACGACAGCTCTTTTCTGCTGCTTTCCCCTCCCACTTTTTAAACTGTTACAAATTTAAAACTTAATGGAAATATATGTTTTCCATGAGATTTTCGCACTGGATGCCTAAAACCAAGTTCCTTCTGCCTTTGTGGGTTCCAGTTATTAAAAAATTCTCAAGCTGAGCCAATTCCGAGTTTGTTAATAAGCCAGTGAACAAAGCAAAGTAACATCAGTTAAAATTTGAAAGAACTTGTCCAGTAGCCTTTTGCAAACCTCGACACTGATTCAGCTAAAGGCCTGTCCTGACTACGTCACTTTGAAAGCCACAGGACTTGTGCTAAACTTGTCTCACTTTCCAGGTTAGTGGATTTGCCTTAGCAGATATGTTCAGAACAGTGTTCCCTCTAAGCTGAGTTAGTGTGAGCTAGCTGACAGTTTTTTAGCCTCCGGCTCACACATTTTTGTCTCAGCTCAGGAAGGATGTGGCTCCAGAGCAAACTAATCTATGCAGTAGCCCAATCGCTCGCTCACAACTGTAATGCCGGTAGCTCACAAAGTAGAATTTCTGTTCATGAGACACCACAGCTTAGAGGTAGCATTGATTCAGAACTATCTTCCACTGAGTTCAAGGGGGTTTGTTCCCAAGTATCCTAAAAGTATGGATGGTTGGAATTGGAAATAAATATTTTCTCACAATTTTACTGAGAGCTTTCCTCTTGAAGCTTCATCGTTGTGTTCTTTCCTCTAGTGAGAAAATGCAGCCGTCGCTGAGAGATAGTTTGGAGTCGTCTTATTTTCCTGGCAGCAGTAAAAAAGTCAGTTTACTATGGGCCAATAGCTGTACAGTTGTGCCGTGGATGCTTTGACTTGGAAGAGGCAGACAAACTTTATAAAACTTAGATAAGTCTTAATTAGTGCCGGACCGCTCTTCCAGCGCGTCCTTCAAAGATTTTGCAGAACCGGAAGCTTGTTCCCAAGTATATGTGCACATGACTGCAGTCTTTGTGGCAATGAACTTTAGCTGGATTGGGGCCATTTGTGGCAGTTGTGGGGACTCATTCAGCACCAGGGGGTAAGCAGCAGCAGCAGGACTTGCCGATTTACTCCCAGAGATGCAGATGTTCACCCAGACAGAGCCTGTTTTTTACTTCTTGCTGTAGTTTGCTGCTATCTAGAGGCAAATGTTTGTAAAAGCAGCAAAAGTGTATCTCGGCTTTATTTTACTTAATAATCTGTCCTTCCACAAGCTGGGTTCCCAACCCGTTTAGAAAGGAAGGGGATAATGGAGAGAAATGGGAGACGTGTCTTTGCTGCCCCCAGCCAGCGTTAATGTACCTTTAAGAGTAGTTGCACCTGGGAATTGGAGTCCACAGTTAGGGGTCCCAGAAGCTTCCCTCTGACTGGCTCATTAAGAGTAATTTCCTGAGCTCAGAGGCGCAAAGATAGGAGTTTTATTGTTATTTTCCGTTTCTTTGTCCATCAACCCTTACTGCAAGGAGAGGGGAAGCCCATCTCTTGGCCATAGGATTAACCTAGATCAGAAAGATGTAACGCTCTATCCAGGTGTCAGCTCGATTGTGAGTAAATGATCTACTGAATGCATGTGAAGTTAAATAAACTTGCTTTCATTTGATAGTTTCAAAAACTACCCATGCTGGTCTGTAGTAGAACAATTAGATTAAAATCCAATAGAGAACAACAAGAATTTCAGAGCATAAGCTTCAAAGGAATGGAGACCTCTGAGTCCTTTTAAGGCCAGCGTGGTGTGCTGGTTAAGAGCGGGGGACTCTAATCTGGAGAGTGGCTTTCATTCCCCACTCCTCCTCCTCCTCCTCCACATGAAACCAGCCGGGTGACTTGGGTCAGCCATAGTTCTCTCTCTCAGCCCCACCGGCCTCCCAGGGTGTCTGTTGTGGGGAGGGGAAGGGAAAGGAGATGGTAAGCCGCTCTGAGACTCCTTTGGGTAGTGAAGGGCAAGGGGTATAAAAACCTCTTCTCCTTTTATCTCAGTCATTAGGAGGTGGGAGGGGCCTTGTAAAGAATGCTCGTAAGGGATGCGAAGGTACCATGTGCATTGTAATCAGCTTGATGGGAGCAGAGCGGAAATGCTGGGGAGCAGAAAATTAGCATCTGTTGTGAGATAAGAATCCTGCGTGCCTGTTCAGCCCTGGAAGGGGGGGGGGGGTGTCCTGAAGTTGTGGATTAATTCAGGTTCAGCCATCTCACGTTGTAATTTACCCTTGGGATTTCTTCGTCTGAGGACTGCCACTGTTAGGTCAGCCATGGAATGACCGGGAAGATGAAAAAGCTCCTCTGCTGGTTTTCGAGTGTTGCAGTTTTTAATGTCAGATTTGTGTCCAGTTATTCTTTTGGGTGGGGACTGACCTGTTTGTCCAACGTAGAGAGTGGAAGGGCGCTGCTGACATTTGACGGCCTGTTTCATTCACACTGGAAGATGAACAAGTGACTGAACCTGAGATGGCAGGGCTGGTGTGGTCAGGGTGGGCATGGGGGCAGAGCTGGCCTCCTGGTGTGTTGCAGGAGCTGGTCCCAGAGTCCTTGTCCGTGTGGGGAAGGACAGTCTTGAGTGTAAGGTGAGGGGGCTGTCTGCAGGCAAGAAAAGGTTTGCCTCCCAGGCAGAGCCCATGAGAGGAGGGTAGTGGGTCATGACTGACGTGTCGCAGGGGTGACCACCACGGGTGCCCTCCTGTCCTTGTCTCCTTTGGACCTACCTTGCATCAGATTCATCCCTTGGCTTTGTCCATCTGTTTCCTTACCACACCGGGTGGGCCTTGTCATCCTGAGAATGTCTGTTGTCGATCCTGCCGTTGAGACACTCTGGCTGAGAGGGCAGGACCACCAAACGCCCACCTTCTTTGTTCTCACAAGCCCCCAAGCGGACCTCTGGCACCAAAGGCAGATGTGGAGGCCGCCTGGCGGCTCTGTGTGGCCCAGTCACGGTGCGTGGAGGGCGATGTGGGGCGGGGGCACCCCCTCCCTCCCTCCGCTTGTCCAGGTGCCGACCGGGGCGGTGACTGAGGGTGCTTCCGAGGGAGGGAGGGAGATCCCCTCCCAGGATCCCAGGGCCCCGGCTGCGCCTGCGGCTGGCGAGCTGCTTGCGCATGCAGACCGCCCGAAAGCCCTGGCCGGGCCAGACTCCGCGGCACCAGAGAGGCGGCCTGGCCGCGCAGGAGAAGCAGGAAGCCTCCCCACGCCCTCGGGCCGCCGCCGCCACCTGCCTCCTGCCTCCCTCCCTCCCTCCCTTCCCGGGGCGTAATCGCCTCTGCCGGGCCGAGGCGGGTGGCGAGCCGGGCGCGCGGCCGCGGGCAGAGTACCGGAGGGCGCAGGGCGGCGCCATGGCGCAGCAGCGATGGGTCCGCCTCTCGGCCGAGAAGCCCACCAGCACCGTCTGCCTCCTGGGCACCGAGCTCTCCCTCGACGTCTCCGGGTAAGAGGGGCGGGCGGAGGCGAGAGGGAGGCAGGTGGCCGAATCCCGCGCGCAGTGCCAAACGCGCCTGCCTTTGCGCCCGCCGCCGACCTGGGAGTTGCCGTGCGCCTCTCCGGGGGCCGTCTTCGGAACTGCTGCTGCTTGCGCCGTCGGGGGGGGGGGGGGGGAGGCCCTGGATTGGCGTGGAACCGGCGAGGTCCTTGCCTGGTCGGAGGTGGCTTTGCGCCGGCCGGCAACTTTCCCCCCATCCCGGGAATGGGACGCCCCTCCTCGCCTGGTTGCTTTGCTCCCCTTCTTGCAGGGGCGGATTAACTATGATGCAGACGAAGCACGTGCTTAGGGGGGCACCAACAAGTTGGGGAAAGGGTGAAAAGAACTTTCTGTAGCCCAAGCTTGGCTTAGTTTGTACAGTAGATTGTGTTACCGTACCTGCACTGTATATCTGGTCAGACAGGTCAGCAACTACAAATGGACTGGGTCAGTGGGGAAAGGAGGGGGGGCACCAAGACTGGTCAGTGCTTAGGGGACCATTGAGCCTTCATCCGCCCCTGCCTTCTTGACAAACCCAACACGGCCCAGGCCAGCAGCCCCCCCCCCCCTTCATGCCAGCTCCTCTGCTGCAAACAGCCTTTGGAAAGAGCTGGTGAGGCATTTTGCTGGTTCGGTTCAGGAGCAAAAGCCTACGGCCAGCCAGTTCAGTCCCCCGCAGGAGCGGGACGTGGAGGGGTCTGACCCCTGTGCAAGCAGCAGTTGTGGGTGGATGACCTCCCCCTGCCCCGGGACAGCTCTGCAGGGCGCTGGCTGACCTGGCCTGACCTGTGCTCCCAATGGCCAGCGGGACCTCCCCATTCTCCACCAGAGTGCCTGGCAAAGCCACCGACCCAGCTCTCCTTCATTGCCCAGAAGCCAGCAGGTGGACGGGGCTGGGGCTGCCAGTGGTGGAGCTTTCCTTCTTCCCGGAGCTGAGGTGTCTGCAGGAGGAGCTATGATCTCGCCACCCTGTGAACCCGGCTGAGTGCTTCTTGCTTCCCACAGGCAAAGCCAAAAATTTGTGAAGGGAAAGAATAAGAGATGTATCAGTGCATGGTTGGATGTGAATTGCTGGCTGATGTAGGCCAAGAAGGTTTGGGTGCAGAAACAGTGGGGGGTCTCTGTGTGGGAATAACTTGGCTGTGTGGGAATAACTTCTCTGCAGCAGCCTTGCCAGCCCAAAAGCAAAACCCCCAAACCCTGAACACAATCCACACAATGCCTTCAAGACCAACCAAATGAGGTCTCCAGAACTCTGCCTCTGGCTGTAAGGCTCAAAGAAAGAAAAGAAAAAGTAAGTTCTAGGGAAGGGAAAGGCCGCTGGACATGATGTTTGGTCCTGCTGTGTTAAATGGAGAGCCGCTGCTGGTTTAAGATTAACAGCCAGTTCTTTTGGGCAAGAGGCAATGGACCAATTATACTCCTTAGAGGAAATAAAGCCCATAAAGGATTCTAATATCGCTCTAAACCAGTGAGAGAGAGCACACAGAAAACACTTGAATATATATAAGAGAGCACAGAAAACACTTGAATATAAAGACCCGTCGCTAATCAAATGTCTCTCTAACACCTGGTGGGAAACACAAGGCACTTAAAAAGGCTGAGAGCAGAAGAAAAACACGGTAATCCTCTTCATGACAATACTGGAGATCAGTTTGGTATTGAAGATGCTGCGTTACTCTGAGCAGATGCGAGGCTTTTGAGACAGTCGTTAGTACAGCCCCGGCTAGTTCAGTGGCCCAGTTCCAAAATGGAGACGCTCCCCCTGCCCAGTACGAGTTGATCTTTGTGGAAAGCGAACGGGGAGAGGCTATCTAGAAGTATTTCAAGAAATAAATCGGCTGCAGAACTGGTGTGGTTGGAAGAGGCTTTAGAGCTGGGGGGGAAGGGAGCATTAACAGGAGTGGTGTCTGAATACTAGCTGGTCTTGACTAGCCAGAGGCAAGGGAGTAGGGCCCCCCCCGGCTCTGGCAGAATTAGGGCTGGGGATCAAGACCCGTGAAGGAGAAACATGGCTTCTTGCCTTGTCCCCACAGAGAGGGTGTGAGGAAGTCATGTCAAGACAGTCACTGAGGCGTAGACTTGTCAAGATACTGTCGCAGCAAAGCGTGTCGCTGCAGCCCAGATAACAAAGAGTCTTGGGGCACCTGGAAGAGGAGTGAACCGATGGCAGCCCAAGCCAGGGCCCACCTGATCGAGCAGGTGTGGCTCATGAAAGTAAAGTCCTGTCCCATCACGTCATGATAGGGCTGCGAAGAAGAAGAATACATATTGAAGTTTGTTGGGTCTGGATTTGTGGACAAGGAGTTGGCCTCCTCTCAGTGGTAGGCAGGGTCACGCCGGCAGGAGCAAGCCGTTCTTTTAAAGATAAGCACGTAACCTTCCTCGCACAATGCGGAAAAGAGCGGGATGTAAACTGTGGTGATGTGAAAGTGTCTTTTAAAGTGGAGCGTCGACTCCTTCTGAAACTATTGCTTGGGTCGGCGGAACCAGGGGCCGAGCAGGACGCCACGCCGTCAACTGGGGCCGAGCAGGACGCCATGCCATCAGCATGAGAAGAGGCCTCAGGAAGAGTCACTTGGACAGAGCCGGTATGAGGAGGGCGGCCCAGCCATGATAGCCACAGGAGGAATTGCTGGGCACGGGCGAGGCGAGGGGCTGCTAAGACTGGGTGTGCGGTTCTTTGTGGGCCAGCCGGCAGAATGCTAAACTGAGGGCTTGGGACGGAACCTCGGAGAACGCTGACATGCACCGAATGGAAGCTCATCCCAGGCATATGACACAAGTTCTTCATAACGCTTTGTCCTGCCTTGTGATGGGGAGAACCGTGCCATGTATCTGCACAGGATCAGATATCCAGGGAGAAAGAGAAAGGGGAAAGATTTTCCTTGCTGTTTTGCAGGACAAAACAGGTGGCTGGTGGTTGTACGCCTGGACCCCAACGTCACCTGCTGATTTTTGTGCTGGTAAAGCCACCGTTCGAGTCCCAAGAGTGAGCCTGGCTGGATAGGGGGAGGGGGGTCGGTTAGCACCTTCAGTTACTTCAGCCTGTGTACCTGCCCCTATCCCTCCCTGTGGAACACAGACACCAGGACAGGGTTTGCCTTATTGGCCCTCCTCCCCCCTCAAAGAACAGGGATTGTTGCTTCAGTATGTGCTTGAGAAGGCAACAACTGCGCCCATCCCTTCTGTGAGCCACCCCGTGGTTCCAGGACCACAGGAGCCTGAAAGGCTGAAACAGCAGAGCCCAGACTCCACAGGGAGAAGTGTCCGTGCTTGCATTATCCTAACCTCTTACCTAGGTATTGCTGGGAGCTGGCTTTTTCCCTGTTTGGCTGCCGGGCGGGTGAAGCCATTGTCCTCCCGTCAGCCAGCAAGACAATCCCCCCTTTGTCAACAGTGTTTTCAGAGGCCCTGTGTTTTCTCTTGCTATTCATAGAAACAGGGGGAACGAAATGTTTCAGCTCTGCTTGTTTGGCAGCTTTTTGCTTCCTGGGTCGGCTTCTGTGAGCGCCAGACTAGAGTGAAACGTCGGAGTGTCCTGCTGAATTGATTCAGAAGGAAGCACACCTGCGTCCCAGCCCTAAACCGCAGAACAGTCTTGCCTAATCTGAGGTCTTCTGAAAACAGATTCAAGTTCAAAACCTTTACTGGCATAGATCATAATCATACAGTCGCCATTCAGTTCATGGATTTGACACACAGCTTCCTCATTATAAGGCAGTTACAGAACTTGGCAACCGCTTCAATAACCGCTATATTTTGTGAAGCCAATAAACGATACAACTTTCTGTCATCGGATTGCTTGGCATCATTCTTAAGAATATCTTCTAGATAGGCTTCCCGAATGTCATCATACAAACTACAATAGAGGAATACTTGTTCGATTGTTTCAATCTCCTCTGAATCACAATCACAGAACCTTGCAGAGTAGGGGATTTTCTTAAATCTTCCTGCTAAAACTGCAGAGGGGAGCACATTAAATCGGGCCAGCATAAATGCTCTACGCAGCTGTGGGGAGGTCAGATCCGCTAAGTATTGTGCTGGGGCGTTAATCGGAAAATGTGCCCATCTTACACGTTTGGCAGCTTTTTGCTTCCTGGGTCGGCTTCTATGAGCTCCAGACTAGAGTGAAACGTTGGAGTGTCCTGCTGCATTGATTCATCCTGCTGAATTGATTCAGAAGGAAGCTCTAAACCACAGAACTGGTGCCAGAACAGTCTTGCCTAATCTGAGGTCTTCTAAAAACAGATTGTAGATATGGTCGGGCTGCAGTGGAGCCAAGAGCCATCCAATTCAGAATCCCGGGTGGGTGGCAGAACACCCCCCCACACACACACACTAGCAGCCCCTCAAAGACCATCCCCTGTAAGGCAAACCTCAGTGTGCCTCCTGTAGAGCGTGCCTCCTGGGCGGCAGCAGGTGGCTCCGGAGAGGCATGTCAAGCAAGCCAGACTACACATCCTAGTGGCTAGTGGTTTCAGGAACAGGTGGGCGCAAGTTGAACTGGAAGGCAAACGTCCCCTCTTTTAACACTAGCGCTGTCACTTGATGGCAGACATCTCGGTTGATCAGTTAAATCCGTACAACATTGCAATATAAAAAAGTAATACTTTTGCAGGGGAAGCACGTGTTGTGGGGATGGGAAGGGGAAGGAGACTGCAAGCCACTCTGAGACTCCAAGTGAAGGGCGGGGGGTATAGATCCAATCACTCACTTCTTCCCTCTTCTTCTTCTTCTGCATTCAGGGGTGTAACTCGGCTTTGACTGGCACTGCAAGCCTCTGGCACCCTACAGCAGGAGGAAGGATGGCCCACCAGAAGGCTGCTTCTTGGCCAAGATGGTTTCTGAAGACGACAGGACTGAAATGTCATTTCTCTTTTGCAGGTCAGCCCCTGTGGGGGCCACGTCCTTCGACGTCTGGGGGACAGCAGGAGTCAACCTCTACATTGTCCACAAGGGGGAAACTCTTAAGATCCCTTCCTGTGTGCCGCGGTGGCCCTTGGAGACCAACATAGAGGCCATAATAAGCATGGATACCCCGAGCAGCAGAGTCAACAGTGACAAGGTGAGCAAGGTGGGGGGAGAGGAAGAGACACTGAAGGCTGTAAGCCTGAAAGGGCATCTATACAGGCATGAATCGCTTTAACTTCCGTGGCTTCCCTCTGCCCCAAACACGAAGCAGTGTAGCCACGTAAAGGGAAAAGGTAATCCTAGTGAGCGTGCCCGTGCCCCTGTGGCATAAAGAAAGGAGTGCAGAGGCCAAGACTGAAACCATTTCTCAGCAGTGAAGCTCACTGCAAGCCAGGACTTTGGGCTGGTCCCTCCCTTTCAGGCTAACCTGCCCGGCTTCCGGTCCCCTGCTCTGGCATGGCAGCAGATGTCTAACATCAGGGGAAGAGACCTCAGCCTCTGTGCCCATTGGGTTGGCCTCTGGGGCAGAATGCTCCCTCTAAGCTGTGGAATCTTGTGAGCAAAATTCTGCTTTGTGAGCTACCGGCATTCAAGCTGTGAGCAGGCGATTTGGCTACTGCATAAATTAGTGTGCTCTGGAGCCAGCCTTCCTGAGCTAAGACAAAAACGTGTGAGCCAGAGGCTAAAAAACGGTGAGCTGGCTCACACTAACTCAGCTTAGAGGGAACACTGGCTGGTTTGCCACAGTGTGAAAGGGGCTGCTGGGCTAGATGAAACCCTGCTCTGATCCCGCTGGATCTGTATTGGTCTCAGATGGCCACCTGGGCACAGTGTTTAGGAGTGCCGGCTCTAATCGGTGAGAACCAGGTTTGAGTCCCCCACTCCTCCACAATGTAGCTGCTGGCGTGACCTTGGGTCAGTCACAAGTTCTCTCAGAGCTATTCTCTCAGGAGCAGTTCTCGAGAGAGCTCTCTCAGCCCCACCCACCTCGCAGGCAGTGTTCCCTCTAAGCTGAGTTAGTGTGAGCTAGCTCACAGTTTTTTAGCCTCCGGCGCACACATTTTTGGCTCCGCTCAGGAAAGATGGCTCCAGAGCAAACTAATTTAGGCAGCAGCGACATTGCTCGCTCACAGCTTTAATGCCAGGAGCCCACAAAGAAGAACTTTTGCTCACAAGACCCCCTCAGCTTAGAGGGAGCATTGGAGGGTGTCTGTTGTGGGGAGGGGAAAGGCGATTGGAAGCTGCTCTGAGACTCCTTCGGGTAGTGAAGGGCCATGGGGTATAAATCCAATCTCCTTCCTCCTCCTTCTTCCTCTGCCTCCACCTCCTCCTCCTCTTATGCCTCATGAGGTTGTTAAGATGAATTAGGGGGAGCCCTGTACAGTGTTCTGGGCATTGGAGGCAGCGTGGAGTACAAAAATGTAAGATGATTTCCTCTTAAGTTGTATCAGAGGAGTCTCACTGCCAGGAAACAACAGCGACAACAGCCCAGACCATGTTACTTTGTGGGGTCCAACAATGAAAGCTCTCCCAACTTAAAATGGCTTTCAGCCTGTTCACATGGAGATGCTTGAATGTGGTGTAGCAGGGCTGGGTCCTGTATTCGTTGATGACTGAAGCTGACCTCTGCCGTGCGGTTTCTTGGCAGGTCAGAATTTCATACTACAAGGACAACGGGAAGGGCTCCATGGCCCAAGCTGTGCTCCACCTCACCTGCGTAGGTAAGGCCCCTGAAATCCAGCAGAAAAGAAACACTTAAAACAACGGGAAGGGCCTAATGAGGAATGCACCTGATTCTGGTGCTGACCCATCCAAAATGGATCAGAGACCTTCCGCCAAACACAGAGGGTTTTCTTTTCCTTGTTATCTTGCAGAGATCTCCTTGGATGTCGACACGAGCCGGTCGGGGACTGTGAACAGGAAAGCTAAAAACAAGGTAAAGGGGAAAAAGCATTTATTTACGGACTCTGTCCTAATCATTTCTGTTACCGTTTTCTTCACCAAAGGTACTTGAGGTGGCTAAGGTATCTGTCTATAGCTAAGTAAAGGTAAAGGTTTGCCTTGCTTGAAAGCCAGTTGGATCCTATTCTAGAGGCTGGTGCTCAACTCTGTTTCCAAGCCGAAGATCCAGCGCTGTCTGAAAACTTCTCTGTGCTCATGTGGCCAGCATAACTAAATGCCGAGGTGCACGGAGCGCTGTCATCTTCCCAATGAAGCAGTACCTATTTATCTACTTGCAATTTCTTGTTTTCAAACTGCTAGGTTGGCAGGAGCTGGGGCCAGAGACGGGAGCTCACTCCGTCACGCGGCACTCGGGTCTCGAACTGCCGAACTACAGACCTTCTGGTCTGCAGCTCAGCGTCTTAACCTCTGAGCCACCGCAACCCCTGTCTATAGCTTGTTGTTCAGTCGCACAGTTGAGTCCGACTCTTCGTGACCCCGTGGACTATAGCTACATAATGTTAAATTCCTATTTTTAAAGAAAGCAGATGTGATAAACAGAAAGCCCAGGTCTACAAGTCTGTGGTGCCAGGAGTGGAGCATACTCCGTGTCAGCTGACTGTCTGAAGAGACAATGCTTCATCATCGAAGCCCTGTTTTTGCACGGTCTCCCGCATTGTTCCAGAGAGAAGGGGCACATGGTCCTTTCAGAAGTGATCCATTGTTTAGCTAATGTAGACCTAGAGTTTTGAGCACTGAGCTTAGAAGGACTCCTGCCTTACAAGACTACAAGAGCGACCCATATACGCATAGAGCTCCTAAATCCGGTCTGTCCTAGGACCTCCAGGCGAGTCGTGTCAGAGTGGTCAGTCTGAGGGTGAGTCTTTTCAGCAGCACATCAAGGCAGGAAGGGCAGCAGGGGACACGTGCGGGTCCAGGTAAAAGCGGCCGGCCAAGGCAGGCCGGAGCGCTTGAGGGCCTCAGAGGAGCCCCCCTCTCTTTGCTTTAGGACCACAGGAACAACAATGTCCATTTTCAGTGGCGGGATTCCCTGGGGATGGTTGCTTAATTTCACTGTGTGAATTTGAGCATATTTACAAGGACGGGTGATTAACAGGGAAACGTCACCTTGTTGGTGTCGCTTCCCTGTAAACAGGCTCCTGCAAGCTCAGCTCGGTTGATTCATGCAGATTTTTTCAAACTCTGCATAATTCTTCCCAGCAGCAAAGACCAGCTTCGCCATTAGCCACTGTGAGAGGGGCACTGTTTTTCGTGACCCCCCCCCTCCAAAAGTGACAGGCGGAGGCTGCGTGGAAGCCCTGGTGCCAGGCGGGGGGTTCCGCGACGTCTTTGTGCCGGCCAGGCCTGCCTACCACTGATCTTTGCCTCTGCAGAGGACGTGGACGTGGGGCCCGGAAGGCAAAGGAGCCATCCTCTTGGTGAACTGCGACAGAGACTACCTCTCAGGAAAGGAAATGGATAACCAGGACAAGAAAGTGGAATCGTATGCAGGTGGGTGAGCGGCTTGGGCAAGGTGGCGGCTTCCTGACGGGGGAGGTCTGGGATCCAGTCCCTGCCTCCCTCGGTAAAGCAACCAGTGGATTCATTCAAATGCTTGCCGCCCTCCTTACCGAAGCCGCCCTTAACTTCCCCTGTGTTCCCATCAGATCTCAAGGACATGTCCCTTATGATCCTGACCACCTGCGGGCCTGAAGGCATTTTTGACGAGTACCAGCTGGTCCTTCACGTTTCAGCCTCTGACCACGACAGAGTGGGCGTCTTTCATGCCAAGGGTAAGCCTCTGCCGCCTTCTTGAGCTGCCGGGCCTCATTAATTAATTAGTTAATTGTTTTCTTTACTTATATCCCACTTTCCTCCCCAGTGGGGACCCTGAGATGCTTCCATCATTCTCCCGTTCTCTGTTTTTCCCTCCCAGCAACCCTGCGAGGTAGGTTAGGCTGAGAAAGTGACTGGCCCAAATAATAATGAATTATCATGTGGCATCGTGTGAGGAGATCCCAAGATTGTCTGGCAGCCCAGAGTTCTAGCTCTTTTACTGTTATCTGCCACTAGGTGGTGAGCTAGACTTATTTTTTGGGTGGGGCTGAGAGAGCTCTGAGAGACCTGTGACTGACCCAAGGTCACCCAGCTGGCTTCCTGTGGAGGAGTGTGGAATCGAACCTGGTTCTCCAGATTAAAGTCTGTCATTCTTAACCACTACACAGTGCTGGCTGGTGACTGGCCCGAGGTCACTCAGGAGGCTTCCACGACACAAGTGTGTGGGGGGATTTGAACCCCAGTCTTCCCATTTATTTATTTATTATATTTATACCCCGCCCATCCTGCGAGCAGGCTCAGGGCGGCTAACAAAGCGGTACAATGTACCTGCTTGGCATAACCATAAACATTATTAAAACTACATAAAACACATACTCATTCAAGACATAAATTAACGATTAGCAGTAAAGTGCTTGCAGAGCCTAGCCTGAACCCTTTAATCCCGACACCACCATGGTGTATTTAGTTATTTATTGTATTTCGTTAGTTCTTTGTTTTTGTTCCATCCTTCTTTCAAGGAGTTTGGGGAAGCTTCTATGCCCTGCCCCCCATTTTTATCCTCACAACAACCCTGTCAGGTAGGACAGGGTGAGAGGGAGACATCTAGTGAGCTGCATGGCAGTGTGTGTGTGTGGGGGGCAGGTCTCCCTCCCCCGCACTCTGACCTCTGCACCACAGGCCCTCTCATGAGGAGAGTAGGGGGCTAGGGCAGGGGGAGCAGGCGCCACACCTGGCTCCCTTTCCCCAGGTGAATGCCATCTTGGCACTGCAGTTCCCCCCCTCTTGCCATTCCAAATGACAGCATCCAAAGTATGGGGGGGGAGAGGATTCTCATCTGCAAGTTTGGATTCCCTGCTGGATCTGGCCCATCTACTGATGAATCAGGCCCGTCTCTTGTCCATCATCCCATTCGCAGCCAATCAGAGGCCCCTGGAGGCCAGGCACGAAGGTGGTGGCCTTCCTCTGTTTCCCTCTTCCTCCCCCTTAGTGCCTGCTACTCAGAGGTATACTGCCTCTGAACATGGAAGCTCTGTGTAGCCATTAGTGCCAAGAGACTTATGGATAGACCTGCCTAATGAATTTGCCTGATCCTCTTTTTTAAAGCCACCTAAGCTTGTGGTTGCGACCAGTGCTCCCTCTAAGCTGTGGAGTCTTGTGAGCAAAAATCCTACTTTGTAAGCCGCTGGCATTAAATTGGTGAGCGAGTGATTTGGCTGCTGCATAAAATTAGTTTGCTCTGGAGCCACATCCTTCCTGAGCTAAGATAAAAAATGTGTGAGCCAGAGGCTAAAAAACTGTGAGCTAGCTCACACCGACACAGCTTAGAGGAAACACTGGTTGCGACTTCTGTAAGTCAGTGATACATACAGGAACATTTGAGCTGAACCAGCAGAAAGCTGAGTTCTGAATAGATGGATTCTTTTATTTATTTATTTATGGTCACGTGTATGCCCCGCCCTCCCCGCAGCAGAGCAGGAACCCTGTTTGTTTGCTTCCCAGGGGGGAAGAAGCTGTTCCAATACAAGCATATCCTGGGATCAGGGAAGCTCTCCTACGTGGTGGAACAGGACGGCTTCCAAGAGAAAAACTTCTACGTGGAAGGGCTGTCCTTTCCAGATGTCGACTTCTCAGGGCTCGTGTCCTTCCACATCACGCTGCTGGAGAACCCGTCTGAGGTATGGCGAGGTGTGCCCAGGAGCACGGGGGCATTGCGGTGCCAGAGTCACACACGCAAAGCTCTGAGAAGGGGCGCGGGCGGGGGGACTCTGGCAGGGCCACTCTGCAGCACCAGTCAGGGTGTCCCTGGGCTCGTCGGTGCCAATTCTGATGGAGAAGAAGGATGGAGACCGAATAAGGCAAGGCCGGGATAAATGCAGTCCCACCGGCTCAGCCACCAATCCCAACTGAGTCCTTTGGGAGCTCTGGCCCTCGAAAGCCCATGCCCCGAAAAACCTGTCAGTCTCTAAAGTGCTACTAGACTTGAATCTTGCTGTTCTGTTGAACACCAACAGGGCTGCCCTCTGGAGCAATCCCAACTGGGCAGGGACTCTCAGGTGGAATTTATTCCATCCTCCTTTCACTGAGAGGTGATACGAGAACCATCCTCAAGTACTTGAAGGGCTGTCCCAGAGAGGAGGGTCTGGAGTTGTTTTCTGTTGCCCCAGAAGGTTGGATCAGAACCAACGAGTTGAAATTGAATCCGAAGATTTTTCGGCTCAACATCAGGAAGCACTTCCTGGCAGTTAGAGCGGTTCCTCAGTGGAGCAGGCTTCCTCGGGAGGTGGCGGGCTCTCCTTCTTTGGAGGTTGTCAAACAGGGGCTAGGTGGCCATCTGACAGCCATGCGGATTCTGTGGATTTAGGCAGATCGGGAGAGGGAGGGCAGGAAGGGTTGCCTCAGTGCCTAGTCCTTGTGTCCCTTTCTTACATGCCCAGGGAAATGCCGGTGGCCGCTCTGGGGTCAGGAAGGAATTTTTCTCCAGGCCGGTTTGGATGGAGATCCTGGAGTTGTTGGGGTTTTTTTTTGTCATCTTCTGGCGATGGAACAGGGGTTACTGGGTGTGTGGAGGGGAATTATTTGTGAATTCCCTGCCTTGTGCAGGGGGTTGGACTAGATGACCTTGGAGGTCCCTTCGAACTCTATGATTCTATGATTCTGGGTTAGCCAAGAAGCCTAGAGTTGTGCGGCCATAAGGCCGACGCGTCCCTTCCATTGGGCATCTCAGGACAGGAGCTGCCTTCCAAGAACTTGGGTGGGAGCAGTCCCCTCCTGCTTCCCAGCCGCCTTCTCAGACCTCGTGTGCCTTTTCTTCCTGTCCCAGGGGCTGCCGGACGTCCCCATTTTCAATGACACCGTGGTTTTCCGGATGGCTCCATGGATAATGACCCCCAATACCTTGCAGCCGATATCGGTTTACATCTGCAGGTGAGGGGTCCTGCTCAAACAGTTGTGTCTGTTGTGCTTCGAATTCAGGGCAGCAGCCCCCAGATCCTGGGCCCGGCATCTCCTTACAGCCTGCATTCTGTCCAGGGTGGTGGGGTCAGCTTTATGTCAGGCATGCCAACAGCGCAGTGTGGGATCCAGAAGCTGCTCCCCGGGATCATCTGTGAGTGTTCACGAGAAGCTGAGCCACCCCGCTGGGTGAAGCAAAGCGGCTTGGTCTGGTTGGAATGACCGGTCCTATTAGCATCTGAGCCTTTCATCTCCTCTGCCTTTGCGGCTTTGTCCAAGAATGTTTCTGATCAGGCATTCTCTCTCTCTCACTCTCTGTGCCTTCTGTTCCTCTAATTGGATTAGCGTGTTCTCGTTAGGTAAGCCCTTCCTTCAGGTGCGGATATTCCTTTTTTGTGTGGTGGCTTCCAATTTCCTTGCTTTCTCGTTTTGATTCCCAGCATTAAGTCCAACGCTGACTTCGTAGCGGCTGTGAGCAAGCTCGCGGTGAAGGCTGGTTGCAAACTGATCATCTGCCCACAACAGGAAAACCGTGGGGACCGCTGGATTCAGGTATTATAGAGGGGGAAGAAACGTGGAGCCAAAGTGAGAAATGAACAGACGAGCGAGCAGCTTTTCCCGACTAATATGGAGGCAGAGGGACACTTCCTGGGCGGGGCTTGTTTAGTCTTTGTAGGAGTGATTCCAGAGCCTTCGGCACAACTCCCGTGCTTGTTTGGGGAAAACATTAACCCCTTCTTTTCCTTTGCTCTCAAGTGGCTGCCGACCCCGCAGGGTGTTCAGGTTGAGAGACGTTCAGAGGTGGCTTGCCACTTCCTGCCTCTGTGTCAGGACCCTGGACTTCCTTGATCTTCCCAAGGATGCGACAGTGAGAACTTTGCTGAAATAGTAAAAATAAATTCTTGGGCCTGCTTTGTTCAGTCATACAGCACTAGCAATCATGATTCTGTGATGGCTGTTTCAAGTTGGGAGAATCTTGCCGGGAGAAGGCCTGAACTCCTTCTCTGCATGCACCACGGTCTAAATTGAAATTGGACTTCCCCTGTGGATTAGTTCCCAGAACACATCAGGGACCCAACCCAGCGATGGCCCTAGGGGGGAAAAAACCCTTAATGTATGTTAATGTATAAATGTATAGTAATGTACAAAATTGGACTTCCCCTGTGCATTAGTTCCCAGAACACATCTGTGACCCAGCCCAGGGATGGCCCAAGGGGAAAAAAACAACCCTTAATGTATAGTTCGGCACTCAGATTATTGCTTTGTAACAAAACCGTAATATCTGAAGCATTAAAGGCTCATCGCCAGAGAAAGGCGGGTGTCAGGAGGCTCTGGACTGGAGAAGAGATTCGGGGTGTTCCGGGACACACTTGCCACAGTGGCTTTAAGAGTCTGCATACCTGAGAGTCTTCCTGCTGTGTCACCTCTTGGCATGAAGAAGTAAGGAGCATCTTTGTTTTGCTTCCTCTGTCGAAACAGGATGAGATGGAGTTTGGCTACGTGCAGGCTCCACAAAAAGGGTTTCCGGTGGTCTTCGACTCCCCTAGAAACGGGCTGCTGAAGGATTTCCCCTTTAAAGGTGTTTTGGTAGGTGGTTGACTTTCCGGACTCTGAGTGTCTTGTGGCTAGAGGAATGCTGAGATTTGCATAAGGGGCTTCCCCCCCCCCCCAGACACAGGTGTCCGTTGCCCTCCCCAACAATCAGGAATGGCTGGCAGATCAGTTGAACCATTTTTTTCTATCCACTGTTAGGCTTATGTGACTGCAGAAACTTTGAACTAGGTAACCCAATTTTGCATATTTTTTTTGGGACAATCAAGTCACAGATGACTTCTAGCAACCTCATGGGGTTTTCAAGGCCAGAGGAGTTCAGAGGTGGCTGGCCATCGCCTGCCTCTGCGTAGCGACCCTGGGCTTCCTCGGTGGTCTCCCGTCCAAGTGCTGACCAGGGCCGACCCTGCTTAGTTTCTGAGATCTGGTGAGATCGGGTTAGCCTGGGCCGTCCAGGTCAGTCTGTTAGTTGACAGAAGCAAAGTGCAGAGAAATTCCGCAGTGCAGCCAGGGAATAATTGGCAGTGCCCCTCTTCAACTAGGCGTGGCAATGCCAGGGTCACCTGGCTAGGCCACACCAAGGTCACGCATCTAGCTCAGCATTCTGCCCGTCTAGTACATTTTTCTGCCACCATTCCTGCAATTTCTTTTCACTCCCTTCCCACTCCTGGCTTTGTGTCCAAGAGGCGCCTCTGAATGCTCACAAGCAGTGTTCCCTCTGAGTCAGTGTGAGCTAGCTCACAGGTTTTTTTAGCCTCCAGCTCACAGGTTTTTGTCTCGGGTCAGGAAGGAGGGCTCCAGAGCAAACTAATTTATGCAGTAGCCAAATCGCTCGCTCACAACTTTAATGCCGGTAGCTCACAGAGTAGAATTTTTGCTCACAGGACTCTCCACAGCTTAGAGGGAGCATTGCCCACAAGTAGGTCCTGAAGGAGGCAACCATTGTCTGTAGTTTACACCCAGCCTTTATTAATCGCAGGTAGAGTATTTTATGATCATTGAGGCTTCTTTCCACCTATGGTGGGTAATATTGATTAAGAGCATTTCTGTCCCACACTTCCATCTGAACACAGCTCTCCTGGGCAGGTCGCAGTCAAGGTAGAACTGTACAAACAAACAGTTATGAAAAGTATCCCATGCAGCTGAAGACAGCCAGCTTAAAAGTAACAAGTCAGAAGTTTTGTTTACATGAACTGGTCAGACTACAGCCAGTGAGATGTAGTTTTCTTTTGCCCCCATCCTTTTTCCTGGTTCCGTAGTGATGCGAATGATCTCACTCTGCTCTGGCTTGCACCCACTCAAGGGCCCAGATTTTGGATATGTGAAGCGAGAGCCGGCTAATAAGAAGACCGTCTCCAGCTTGGACTCCTTTGGAAACCTGGAAGTCAGCCCTCCAGTGACCGTCAGGGGCCAGCAGTACCCCCTGGGGCGAATCCTCATCGGGAGCTACTTCCCCAGGTGAGAGGGTCCATCAGCCTGGCTTCCTGGTGGAGACGCATTCTCACTGGGGTGGGGGTGTTAGTTCATAAGTGTTCCGTATGGACCTCTCCCTCTTGGGTGGGCGATAACATGCAGCAGCCCTTGCCCCAACAGCCTGGGCCATCCCATAATGCCAAGGAGGCGAGGTGGCTGGCCTGAGGTCACCCCACAAGTGGAGATTCCTACCTGGCTGTCCCCAGTCTGACACCCCCCCCAACCACTCCACTGCGCTGATTCTCCTCACTCTCGGATGGCCCCGATTCACGTGGCAAGTGCTGCCTAGTGTTACGGATCAGGAACGGAAAGCTTGCACGGCGGCAGCAAGAGGAGAGGCACACAGTCTCAGGTGCGCAGCCCTGCTCGTGTGTAAGCGGCAAGATAAAAAAGGGGCCCGGGGGCACCTTCAGGACTAACACGACCTATTCCAGCACAAGCTTTTGTGAAACAGAGTGCATTTCATCAGGTGCATATTTTGTACACCCATATGTTTATAGCCACAACAGAAACCCCAGGGGTGTGTGTGTGTGTGTGTTTGTACACACAGATGTTACAAGGAGAGGCCAGTCTGAAACAAGATCCCGACCCAACAGCACTCCAGTCCAGTCAGAGAGGGCGTGGGCCGCTCACAAGTGCTGACAGAGAGGCAAGGCGGAATTAGCAGAGGGCAGGATGGGCAGGGATAAGCAGATACAAAAGGAAGTCGCAGAAGTATGGCTGAACTCATTAACATCCGTAAAGGGTGACGGATGCCGGATGTGAGCACCTGCCGTGAGTGAGCATCCCAGGTCCCTGTTAAGCATAGTCTGGAACTGGGAAATGGATTATAATGCTCTAAGTCAGCAGTTTCATGTTGGGATTCACATTTAAAGTTCTTTTGTCAGAGAAGGACTTTCAGATCAGCAGCTGGATGCTGTGGGTAATGTTCATGAAAGCTTTAGTCCATCTGGGGGGGGCGGGGGGGGGCTGGTAAATAGTTCTTGCATGACACCATCGACCACCTGAGAGATCTATAGCCCAATGACAGTCTCCCAGGAAACACCATTTTGGCCAAAATGGTGTTTCCTGAGAGACTGTCATTGGGCTATAGATCTCTCAGGCAGTCGGTGGTGTCATGCAAGTGATTAGGGGGTGTTGATGGCCTTGGATTTGAGGAGGGAGTCCAAATGACCAGACATCCCCGATAGTGATTGTGCCGGTGACTAAGGCAATAGTGTGCTGTGGGATGGAGGAAGAAGAAGAGAAAGTTTTTATACCCCACAGTTCGAAAGCAAGAAACTGCAAGTAGATAGGTACCACTTCGGTGGGAAGGTCACAGCATTCCGGGCACCTCAGCATCTAGTCATGCTGGCCACATGACCATGGAAAAGTCTTCGGACAATGCTGGCTCTTTGGCTTGGAGACGGAGATGAGCACCGCCCCCTAGAGTTGGATTTGTCTGGCTTTCGAGCAAGGGAAATCTTTGTCTTTACCTTTTTCTCTACCTTAAGGAGTCTCAAAGTGACGTACAATTACCTTCCCTTCCTCTCCCCACAACAGGCCCCCTGTGAGGTAGGCGGGGCTAAGAGAGCTCTGAGTGAACGGTGTCTGGCCCAAGGTCATCCAGTAGGCTTTGTGTGGAGGAGGAGGAGGAGGAGTGGGGAATCAAACCCGGCTCTCCAGATTAGGGGCCACTGCTCTTTAACCACTAGACCACTCTGGGTGCCAGCCTGCCTTCTGTAATTTGGGTAGCAGGCAGAAGGAGCCAGGCAAGTTGACTTGTTCCTGTGTCTGCAGTATATGCTTTTATAATCCCCACTTTGCCACACAGTGCAGAGGGGCTTTTGTTCCTGTAGGAAGCCCCGATGGCCAAAGGCTTGGGTAGCTGGGAAAAAGGGGACCGGGTGAATTTATGTCCATCCATAGCGTTTGCAAAACAAAACTTCCATCTACAGAGGCAGGATGCCACAGAAGGCATAGAGAGAGGACAAACTGCACTGCCTTTGACTTCTGGATGGGATTCCTCAACCGACATTCCCTCGCTTTCTTTTCTAGCTCTCAGGGCAACAGCATGGTCCAGGTCGTCCGGGACTTCCTTTACGCCCAGAAAGTGCAGCAGCCCGTGGAACTGTACTCCGATTGGCTGGTTGTGGGCCACGTGGATGAGTTCTTGACGTTTGTCCCGGCTCCTGATAGAAAGGTCTGTGTCGCTGCGTGAAGGGACCCCAGCCTCCTTGCTGCCTCTGTGGCCTGCATACATTATGCTCGTGGGGCAGGTTTTCCTTGCGCGTTTGCCATTCCGCATAGCTTGTTGTCGTTTTGCTGATAAGTCGGGGCACAAGGATATCACGGTCCCACCCTCAGCCAAGGGAAATCTGGTTCCACCCCTGCTGTGGCCTCTGGGACTTGAGCAGGTGTCGCTCACACACCTGCAGGCACATCTTTCCAACCATCGGGGCTTAGAAACCTGCTCATTTTTTTAAAAAAAAGAAGAAAAGGGGGGAAAGTAGGAGGTTCTTAGGGAGCTGGCTTCTGTGACTGTTGTCACCGTCTGTGCTTGCGTCCCACAGTGGCTACTCTTCTCCGAAAGGTCCCTTGGTCAGAACCGTGACCGTTACATACTTTGGAAAGTGGGTTGACTGTGTAGTGTAGGATAGTCTGGGTCTTTTCTTTGGGGGATGGGGTGCCCCGTCCGTCCTTCTGGATCTCTGCCACCTGGAGCCGGTTCCACCCCGTGATCCTCTTGTGTTGCATCCTGTGACGTTTTGTGCACTGCCGGTGGAACTGTAAAGGAGGCTCCATTCTGGCTTCTGCGGAATCTGGTTCCCTTTGCTTGAGTTAAGAGCTTCTGGTTCCCTCTGGCACTTAATGGGGCCCTTCCTGTTCCCTCCGGATGCTTCAGCCAACCTGGAAAGTCCTCCCGATCAGTTCCTCCTCCTGGGCAGGGCAAGGAAGGGGAACCCGTAATTACTTCCATTCTCTTGAGTGCAAAATGGGCTCATTAAAATTTTTATCTTTTGTTATACTAATATGCTAATGGTGTGATTAAGACAGTGAAAAATTAACAGACAATCACATTGCTGTAAAGGGATAAAAGGAGCAATTCCTGCTTCCTCCTGCCCAGGAAAAGGATCCGCTCAGCAGTGCTGAGGCACTCAGAGGGAGAATGGGGAGTGTATAAATGAAGGCAAACGCCGAGGCCCTGCCATTGAATGAAACGTTTTTTAAAGTGCTACAGATCAGCCCTGTCTCCTTCCTGCTTCTCCCCCCACCCACCCCTTTCTCACTCACCGCCATGTTCCCTCTAAGCTGAGTTAGTGTGAGCTAGCTCACAATTTTTTAGCCCCCAGCTCACACTTTTTGTCTTAGCTCAGGAAGGATGACTCCAAAACAAAGTGATTTATGCAGTAGCCAAATCGCTCGCTCACAACTTAAGAACATAAGAACAGAAGAGAAACCAGTGCTGGATCAGGCCAATGGCTCATCTAGTCCAACACTCTGTCACACAGTGGCCAAAAATACCAGGTGTCATCAGGAGGTCCAGCAGCGGGGCCGGGACACTTGAAGCCCTCCCCCTGTTCCCCCCCCCCCAAGCACCAAGAATACAGAGCATCCCTTGCCCCAGACCAAGAGTTCCTATCTATACCTTGTGGCTAATAGCCACTGATGGACCTCTTCTCCATATGCTTATCCATAAGAACAGAAGAGAAGCCAATGTTGGATCAGGCCAATGGCCAATCCAGCCCAACACTCTGTGTCACACAGTGGCCAGAAATACCAGGTGCCCTCAGGAGGTCCCCCAGTGGGGCCAGGACACCAGAAGCCCTCCCACTGTTCCCCTCCCTCCCCCAAGCACCAAGAATACAGAGCATCCCTTGCCCCAGACTGAGAGTTCCTAATCTATACCTTGTGGCTAATAGCCACGGATGGACCTCTGCTCCATATTAAGAATCTTAAGAGAAGCCAATGTTGGATCAGGCCAATGGCCCATCCAGTCCAGCACTCTGTATCACACAGTGGCCAAAAATACCAGGGGCCCTCAGGAGGCCCAGCAGTGGGGCCAGTAACTCACAAAGTTGAATTTTTGCTGACAATACTCTACAGCTTAGACAGGGAGCATTGCTCACCGCCTGCCCTCTTTGGCTTCCAGGGTTTCCGCCTGCTCCTGGCCAGTCCCACCGCCTGCTACAAACTGCTGAAGCAGAAGGAGCAAGAGGGCCACGGAGACGCGGTCATGTTTGAAGGTGAGGTGAGGGGGTTCTTGGGCCTGTGCAGCAGTTCAGGCTTGAGAGGGAAGGCTGCCCCGGGCTGACTCCGGCTGCTGGTGTTTTGGGAGCAGTGGCAACCGCAACAGCTCCTTAGGATAAAAGCTGTGATTAAAAAAAAAGCCTTCCCAGGCAACACCCAAGTTATCAAAAGCAATGGGAGCTGCTCTGGAACTGCAGAGCAGATAGTTCAGCCAGGTACATTTGATTGTTTCCCGCCAAATCCTCCCTAAAGGTGTCAAAACCTTTTGCGTTCTTTCATACCTTCCAGCGTGACCTGTTTTTCAGCACTCTTTCCTGGGGGGAATGAACCCTTCTTGATTTTAAGGGGGCAGCTCCATTGATTGAGTGATCTTTTTTGACTGCGTTCACCTTGCCTACTGCAGCGTGGGCGGAAGCCTACATGGCTGCTGGGGGCCAGGATCCTGGGCCAGGAGATCCCACCGAAGCCCCGCTCCTCCCCTCCCAGTGCCCCGTCTATGCCGGGAGAGTCCGGCTGGTGTCCTCGTGACATCGGCATGCCTTTGCAGGAGCATCGGAGTGAGGTCAGGCAGCGTCAACTGCCCCGTCTTCCACATACGCTGTCCCTTAAGACTGCGCTGCTACTGTCGAAAAAAGGGCATTTTTAGTCTAGTTGATGGGAATATAAAGATTCTTGGGATGATCACTTGGGCCTTGTGAAAAATGGTGCCATGAGAAGTGATGAGTGTGGGGCATGTTACTGGGGTAGGCATTACTATGTTGCAATGATAAGATAATTCTTTTAACACAACAGCTATTGAGAGCCCGTTCGGTGTAGTGGGTAAGTGCGCAGACTCTAATCTGGGAGACCTGGGTTTGGTTCCCAACTCCTCCACATGCACCTGCTGGTGTGACCTTGGGTCAGTCATAAGTTCTCTCAGAGTTGTTCTCTCAAGGGCAGTTCTCTCAGAGCTCTCTCAGCCCCACCTACCTCACAGGGTGTCTGTGGTGGGGAGGGGAGGGGAGGGGAAAGGAGTTTGTCAGCCGCTCTGAGACTACCTCGGGTAGTGAAGGGCCATGGGGTGTAAATCCAATCTCTTCTTCTCCAACCAGGGGTTCTCCTCCTTTTACTGCATGGTGGTTCTCTCTGTTTCCTCTCATTCTGCTTCACCAACATCAGCAGAGCTTTGGGGGCTACCAGATGTCTCCTCCCCGGAGCGATTTCTCCCTTTGCTCCGGAGCATAATTTCCCAGGAGGGTTTCACACGTGCAGGACGGAGCTTGCCCACCCCCACCCAATTTCTCTTCCCCCCCCCCCCCGGGTCCCTTTTCCCCCCCCCCCCCCCCGAGGCCTGGGCGGCGAGGGGCTGAATCACGACAAGGTGTGGGAGTTGTGGCGGGATGCTGAGACGGCCCGTGGCTCAGTTCCATCTGCTCGTTTCAGTCCCAGGCTGGGAAAAGGCCCTTGCTGGCGGTGTGTGAGAGGTGCTGCTGGCCAGAGGGGAGAGAGCGGTGGCTTAGCTGAGCCCAGCAGGCTGCCTCATTATACGTGAGTTTTATGCAGTCCTGTGATTACTCTGAGCCCCCTCACAAACTTGTCTCATTCTCCCTAGAGACGGGCTAGCCATGCGTGACCGTATAGGAAGTCTAGATCTCGGTGGGGGTGGGGTGGCGGTGGGAGGAGCTGTGGCTCAGTGGCAGAGCCTCTGCTTGGCATGCAGAAGGTCCCAGGTTCAGTCTCCAGTAAGGCTCAGGTGGTAAGAACATAAGAGAAGCCAAGTGTTGGATCAGGCTAATGGCCCCTCCAGGCCGACCCTCTGGGTCACACAGTGGCAAAAGCCAGGGGCCATCAGGAGGCCCACCAGCAGGGCCAGACCTCCAGAAGCCCTCTCACTCTTGCCCCCACCCAAGCACCAAGAATGCAGAGCACTCCCTTGCCCCAGACATAAGGACATAAGAGAAGCCAATGCTGGATCAAGCCAATGGCCCATCCAGTCCCACACTCTGGGTCACACAGTGGCCAAAAATACCAGGGGCCCTCAGGAGGTCCAGCAGTGTCCCCAGGGCGCCTCCCCCCCCCCCCCCCCCCCCCGAGCACCAAGAAGGCAGAGCATCACTCGCCCCAGACATAAGAACATAAGAGAAGCCAATGCTGCATCAGGCCAGTGGCCCCTCCAGTCCCACACTCTGGGTCACACAGTGGCCAACAATACCAGGTGCCCTCAGGAGGTCCAGCAGTGGGGCCGGAAGGACACTAGATGATGTGAGAGATCTCAGCCCAGGATCCCAGAGAGCTGCTGGCAGCCTGACTAGACAGTGCTGACCTTGATGGACGCAGGGGCTGAGTCAGTAGAAGGCAGCGTCATGCCTTCGTATGTATTCATGTCCTCGCGACACTAAAGCCTGGGTCGGAATCCCTTCTCTGCCAGGTCATGCACAGGGTGGCCCTCCTCACAGGGTTGCTGTGATGATGAAATGAGGTGGGCGAGAGCCACATGCACACACACCCGCCAGCTCCTTGAAGGATGGGCGGGACAAAAATGTGCAGGACAGATCTTGTCTTACGAGAACTGAGGCGTTTGACCCATCAAGTTAAGGAAGAGCCTGTAGCCGAAAGGAAGCAGCAAACCCGTCTCTTGTTACAGGAGTGAAAAAAAGCAAAGAAATCTCGATAAGAAAGATTCTCTCTGACCAGACGTTGCGAAACACCAACCATTATTACCAGGTAATCTTCGTGAAGGGCTGTCTGGGGTGCCCCTTCGTGGTCACAGACGCCCCTTCGTCTTCGCCGAGACGAATGCCAAAGTGGCTGCGGGAACTGTGGGGGACCAAGTCCGGACGGAAGAAGAGGATGCTGGGCTGAGTGTGAGCGCGTGTGCCTCTTCTCCGCGCTCCAGTTTCGGGCTGGAGCCACAGAAGAAGATGGGCCGGGAGGGTGGCAGAGCGGAGCACAGTTTGGCTAGTGCACATCTTGCACACAGGGAGCAACCAGCTGTACCTAGACAGAACAAGCCTCTGCCATCTGTGGCAATACTGGGAGGGGGGGAGGACTGGCCTGCCAACACCCCCCAGGAAGCCTGCAGGGACCTGAGTCAGGAAACAGCCCCAGGGTGACGAGTCACGGGCAAAGACTGGCACAGGTGGCAGATTAATTGCTTGGCACGAGCGTGGCACCTGTGCCTCCTCCAGCAGTGGAACAGACACTTCCCCGCTTTGCTTTCCCTCCTCTCCAGAAATGCATCGACTGGAACCGGGACATCCTCAAGGAGGAGCTGGGGCTGACCGAGGAAGACATCATCGACCTCCCCCAGCTCTTCAAGCGCAGCACCACCTCCAGCAAAGCTGTCGCTTACTTCCCCGACCTGGTGAGTCTCTGTGAGTTGTTTCGCGGAGGCTGACTTTGAGAACCGAGCGAAGGGTGCTGGGCGAGCCCTCCCTGCCGGGGCTGGCGAGCGAGTCTGCCCCCTCCAGAGCTCCGTTGCCAGCAGTTCAGCAGCAGAGAGGAAGAGCCGGTGCTGCTCTTTTCTGCCTCAGCAAGGGGGCTGGGTGCCTCTAGAGTGCTCCGGCTGGCGGTGTCCTTATTACGGGGTGGTTGAAGGACGAGGCTCAGTCACTGGTCAAGATGCAGCACAGAGGTCTGAGAACACTGGACAGGGAGGAGGAGGAGACTGGATTGATACCCCATGGCCCTTCCCTCGGCGTCTCAGAGCAGCTCGCAAACTCCTTTCCCTTCCCCTCCCCACAACAGACAATCTGTGAGGTCGGTGGGGTTCTGAGAGAGCTCTCTCGAGAACTGCCCTGGAGAGAACAGCTCTGAGAGAACTGTGGCTTCCCCAAGGTCATCCAGCAGCTGCGAGTGGAGGCGTGGGGAATCAAACCCACTTCTCCCCGATTAGAGTCTGCGCACTTCACCACGACGCCAGACTGGAGACAGCTGGTGCCTGCTCTTGAATGGCTGCGGATCGGCCAGGGAGATGTGGCAGCCTCAGCAGCATCGTAGGTTAAAGGCTCCCATAAAGGCCTCGCCTACATTTTTCGTTCAAGGTGCAAAAAGCAATTGGAGTTGCTCTAGAACTGCAGGGCCCCCATACAGATCGGATGGTTTGCTCCAAGAGATTTGGCCGTATCCTGCCAGGTTACCTTTGGCAGCATGCCTCTTATTCCCCTCTTTCCATCTCCTCCAGCCACAGTCCGGCTTCCGAGTCCTGTCCTCCTCTGATCTGTCTCAGGGGAGGGACGGGGAGGGGGAGGCTGTGGGGTGGAGTCCCCAAGCGGAGCTGCTGTCCAGAGCCAGGATGCGGAGGGGGGCAGCAGGGCTCAGCTCGGCATCCCTCCTCCCCACCGCCAGCCCTTTACGGCCCTTTCGTCTTCACTGCCCAGCCGCACTGCAGCTTTGCACCCTGGACTGCCACAACAGAGGGGGCCTAGAAGCACCACCGTTGAGAGCCAGCACGGTGTAGGGGTCAGGAGCGGCAGACTCTAATCTGGAGAACCGGGTTTGATTCCCCACTCCTCCACATGCAGCCAGCTGAGTGACCTTGGGTCAGTCACAGTTCTCTCTCAGCCCCACCTGCCTCACAGGTTGCCTGTTGTGTAGTGGTTTGGTATGGCCAGTTTGGTGTCGTGGTTATTTATTTATTTATTTATTTAATTTTATTTATACCCCGCCCTCCCCGCACGCGGGCTCAGGGCGGCTTACAGTATGAGGTTAAGTGCGCGGACTCTGATCTGGGAGAACCGAGTTTGATTCCCCACTCCTCCTCCACATGCACCAAGCTAGGTGACCTTGGGCAAGCCTTAGTTCTGACAAGAGCTGTCCTTGAAAGAGCTCTCTCAGCCCCACCTACCTCACATGGTGTCGGTTGTGGGGAGGGGAAGGGAAAGGAGGTCTGTAAGCTGCGGGGTATAAATCCAACCGCCTCTTCCTCTCCCCCCCTCCTTAGGAGAGGAAGGGAAGGCAATTGTAAGCCACTTTGAGACTCCTTCGGGTAGAGAATAGCGGGGTATGAAAGCCAACTCTTCTTTGTGTGGATGCTTCTGGGGCAAAGCTGCACGAGGACAGGATGTGCAAGCACCATTCCCGCACCTTGCCCGACTGCTGGCGTCATTGGGAGACTATGGCTGGCGCGCTGCCATAGCTCCTGATTTCCATGGGTGGCATGGATGAGGCTGGATTATGTCCCCCCCACCCCGACTCCCTGTTCAGGCTTCTAGACTCTACTGGTGGCACCCCCACAGACTCCTATATTTCCATCTGTGATGTGTTGAAGCAGGTTGTGTTCTCCTTCAGGGAAGGGTTTATTTCGGAATCTGTTCCTGATGCACGTCCCAACTCCCATCTCCTGTCTACAGGTGAACATGCTTGTTCTGGGGAAATACCTGGGCATCCCCAAACCGTTTGGGCCCATTATTCACGATCAGTGCTGCCTGGAGGAGGAGGTCCGTCGCCTGTTGGAGCCCCTGGGATTGTCCTGCACCTTCATCGATGATTTTGAAACCTACCACGAAAACCTTGGCGAAGTCCACTGCGGCACCAACGTCCGCCGGAAGCCGTTCTCCTTCAAGTGGTGGAACGTCATCCCCTGAGTCGGGAAGGGAGGGCAGCCCTGGCCATTCCCTGCACTCTGGGCGGCAGCGGGAGGTGCCGAAGTAGCTGCTGCGTAGCTTGCCGCTATCTTGTGCCCAACGCATCCTCGGGAACTTTCAAAGGGACCACATGGTTTCTCCCACTGGTAGTGCAAGAAGGTTTCAGAACTGGGTCCCCTTTTTGCCCTGAGGGCTCACACGGAACCCATCAAAAAGCAGCACAGATTCAGCCCTTTAACTCACAGCAGAGAAACAGGGTACGAAGGTGCAGCGTCCACTGAAAGCATCCAGGATGAGGGGTGTGATACACATTCCAAGTAAAATAGGATTGGTCTCCCGGGGGAGGGCGAAGGAGAAGTAGCAAGTGGGTGTGTGCGTGGAAAGTGCCGTCAAGTCTTAGCCAACTTACAACCCCAGCAAGAGACTTCCAAGGCAAGGGAGCAGCAGAGGTGGCTTTTGCCGTTGCCTCCCTCCTCGGTGGTCTCCCTTCCAGGTACGGACCCTGCTGCGTTCCTGAGATCGGTTGAGTTCGGGCGACACCGTCCTGCCTTCCCTCTGACCAGCAAATGGTTACAGAACCATAAAATTCAGCCCTGTCCCGGTCGCATTCAGCCTTCCTCCTCCCTTTTAGTCCACCTACTTAAAAACCAAAGCCTTCCACATTCCAAAGCAAGCTCTGAGCTTTCTGGCCTGGAAACGGGTCCAGAGAACGGTCCCTGCTGTTTTTTTTGCTGAACCAGAGAAAGAAGGAACAAGAATGAAGGAGGGGGTGGGAGTGGAGGAAGGGGATGTCCACGGACACCTGCCCTACACATTATGTCCTTTCCTTGTGGTCAGTGGAGGTACGCTTTTGTTTTTTCCTATAAAACAGGAGCCTCGTGGCACCTTCAAGACTAACAACATTTATGCGGCCGTGAGCTTTCGTAATGAGTCGGAACGCACGTCTTCAGGGGCTCTGAGTCATGAAAGCATATGCTAGCATAATTGTTATCAGCCTTTAAGGTGCCCAGACAAATAGCACAGCTGCCCCTCTGATTTCCCCCCCCCTTCCCCCGACGCATCGTTTTACTCCAGGGAACGGAACAGGACTTCGTTTTATTTCCATTAAACGCCTGTGTTGCCGGCTCAGGGTGGCCGGCTGGGGCAAGTTCGGACCCAGATTTACAAAGGGGATCCCAAGGCCGCCTTCTCCTTCCACCTCCCGTGGCCAGTTTAAAGGGCCGGTCTTGTTTTCTTGCACATTCCCTTGTCTTAAGGACCGACTAGGGAGGTCCACAAACACATTTCATGCCCTGGTAGGTTCCTGGGCTTCTTCGCAGATTTGGCAGTCCCTGTTCTGTGGGCATCTTCTGATAGCCGCATTTGCTCTTCCTTCTGCAGCCGAGGCCGGTTGGGAAGACCTGACGTAGGTCCCGGGTGCTTGGAGGCTGCCTTTCCACTCCCTGCCTCCATCTAGAGTAGAATCGCTGACCTCTGCCTAAGGCCACAGAGGCTGGGGTTGTGACCGGTGCTACTGGGCTGGATGGCTCACCCCTTGGATGCCTCCTTGCCCACTGAGAGAGAGGAAGGGCCAGCATGCAGAATCCTTCGCTTCTAATCCACACAGCACTAACCTCCCAAGACACAGGTCTAGGGCCAAAGCGGGTGACCGGAAGGGGCCAGTCCGGGAATCCAGGCACAGAGGGGAGGCTGACCCCCCTCCCCCTTGCCTGCCCCTAAAATGTGTGGCACAAGATCTGTAAGTGACACGGGTGAAAATTGTGCATTTCCTTTAAAAAAAAAAAAAACACCCCAAACAACTAGGTGATTTTGAATTCTATACCTCTGTTGATCTCCTCCCCCCCCCTTCCTAAGAGAAATACACATATTTGCGGACAAACTTCCTTCCCCTCAATTGTTTTTACAAGCTGTGTGATTAAAGGTCTGAAGAAATGTTGGGTTCTGATTAATGGCACATGGATTCCCACCAGGTGGTCCTTTCATGGAGAGATTTGGGGTGTGAGGGGGAGGAGTGGATGCTGCAGGGGGAGGGGCCGGGACCAGTGTTCCCTCTAAGCTGAGTGAGTGTGAGCTAGCTCCCCTTTTTTTAGCCTCCGGCTCACACATTTTTGTCTCCGCTCAGGAAGGCGGGCTCCAGAGCAAACTAATCTGTGCAGCGGCCCAATAGCTCGCTCACAACTTGAATGCCAGGAGCTCACAAAGTAGAATTTTTGCTCACAAGACTCGACAGCTTAGAGGGAGTATTGGCCGGGACTCCCCCCAGAGGAGGAGGAGGCAGTGCTTATTGGGGATGTTCCTGAGACGACAATAGGACACTGAAGGATCAACCAGGTGACCCTGACAGTTGGAAATCTGGCACCAAAGGTACAGCGGTCCAGTGACAGAGCATCTGCTTGGCATGCAGAATGTCACCAGCATCTGCAGCTAAAAGGATGTGACCATCAGTGATGTGACCAGCTGCCACTGCCAATGAGAGGAGACCAGGCTGACCTGGACGGACCAAAGGGAGCCTGGCTCAAGAGAAGACGTCTTCCTGTGTTCATCAAGGATACTCTTCAATCCTGATTACATAATCATTTCATCCTGTCCCTTAAGCAACTGAAATTAGGAATCTCAGTTTTCTACAAAATGGTCTGTTTTCAGCCACCACCTGCCCCATTTTGGGAAAACACACCCCAAACATGGCCTCCGGGAGCAGATGCTTATATTGGTGCATTCCATGACCTTTCCCAGTTTGTTTGCCCTAAGAGGCTGCCGCGACTAGTGGCAGAGAGTGACTCAGGTGGACAGTTTCTTGTACATTAAGCTGGTATAACCAGTAGCTTATTAAACACGTCCAGTGAAGCAGCACATATACATCCTTTAGCATTTGACCCATCTATACAATTCCATCCTGTCCCAGGTGTTCCGAAAAGCCCCCACTGCCATCCAGTGTCTCACCCCCCCTCCCCAGTGAGGTAACCCTTCCCCTTACCCCTAGGGGTTGTCACCTACTCTGTGGATAACAACCGCTGCCACCAACAAATCGGAAAGAGTACCTCCCACTAGACAGATTTGGGTATCTAGGACTCTGTATTACTGTTTTAAAAGCTCTGCCTACTTGCTGCGTCTCCTGCTTCACTCCTACTAGCTAGCGTGGAAACAGTCTATCATGCTTTTGTGCTCCAGGGATGGCAAGCTCAGCTGCTGCTCTTTATTGCTGTTCAGAAAGGGGGACTGAATAGGTTGGTGTAGGTACAGAGATCAGGCTTTGGGCACTCGATAAGGAAGGTTAATAAATGAATAAAAAGCATACACATGGTCTGTACAGCATCAGGATGAGCAAGTATACAAAGAAAAGGTGAAACCGCATTATCCTCTAAATGAGGGGTGTCAAACATGGCCCATAGGCCAGAATTGGCCCATCCAAAGCTCTTATCTGGCCTGTGAGCAACTGGTGCTGTTTTCAGCCTGCGAGGAAAAAGGGGTTGTGGCAAGGATAAAAAACGTCCCCTGGAGGTTTTGGAAACAGTCTCTGTCAGGCCTTCCCCTCAGTCCTGCCGCTTCTGTGGGAAATGCAGGAGGAATGAGCACTGGGGTGGGTGGATCTGCCAGGCTTTTGTGGGTTCCCCAGTAAATCAATTGCTTTTACTGCTAGGAATCAATTACTTTTCTTTGTATTTTGAGAAAAAATAATATCATTAACTGGGTTTGCCTGTGACCTTTATATAGTTTGTATCTCCAGTACGTGGCATTACATTTTATGGCATATGTGGCCCAGCCCAACAAATTTGACATTTATGTCAGATCTGGCCCTCATAACAAATGAGTTTGACACTTCTGCTCTAAACCCTAAATTCTATACTTATTCTAATAAATACTAAATTAGACTTGAAGCTGCAGTAGTTAAAAATCCTTCATTACCTTAGTCTCAGAGGTAGGACTTCACTCCTTTGTTCTTCAGCACCTGATCAAGATGGAGTGTTTTTGTAAAGCTTGGTCTTTCAGGGTTTGAACTTCCCTGGCCAAAAGATAAGAGAGATTTTCTTCTGTCCTGAGAACTAATAATCTTCCCTCAAAAGTGACCTCTGGGGTCATTCACAATCCTCTTGCCCCAGAAGGAAGAAATACAATCTAGCATTTTGGCTTTCCTGGTCTCTGTCCCTTTAGGTGTGACATTCCAGCAGAGCTGCTAGATGACAAACCTTTTGTCTTGCTCTGGCCAGAGCCATTTGATTTTGAAAGCGCTGAAATATTTGAAGTACTCGGTGCTTGGGGGATGGATGACTCATTCAAGGGCACCTTTCCCCCCAGCTACGAATTTGCTGCGAGAGGGTGCAGTCCCAACTGTTGAATTATTGGGGTGACTGCAAGGGCAGCGGTCGTTTCTGCATATGCACTACCCAGTAAATAAATATGGGCTGTCTTGAAGAGGCTGGCTTTATTAGAACACTCCCTCAGTCGCCTTCCTTAGAAAGAGCAGGAGATCGTGATCTTGTTGATTCTCTTGGACCTTTCTGTTGCTGACCAAAGCATCCTTCTGGATCACCTGCCTGAGGTAGCCGTTGGAGGTGTTGTGTCCTGGTGGCCTGAGTGGTAGCTTCTAGAAGGTGGTGTTGAGGGATGGTTGCTCTGTCCCATGGCCTCCCCTCACAGTCCATTGTCAGCCACTCAGAGCCACCCCTTCAAGATCACAAGGCCTTTCTCCTGAGAGTACCAAAGGATTCGAACTCTCCGCTCAGCACCCACATGAATCCACATGGGATGCCAGTGCTACCTGGTGGCACCTGACTCTGCTTCATTTTTGCTACTCAAGAGATGATGCGAGATGTCTCCAACAGGTCAAAGCAGCTCACCCCAGATTACCACCAGGTGGCCACAGTTTGACGTTTCCAGGAGCAACATTTCAATTACTTTTCCTCACGGATCTCAGGGAGGGGCAGAAATAAAACACACTCTAGGGATATGCAATAATAATTCTCTTTTTTAAAAACACAAGTGCAAAATCTGCCCCTTGTAGAACATGCTACAGGAGTCCACCCAGATGGGAAGAGACCAGATCACATGTAACTGTGGAGGCTGCACTTTTCCAGGAAGAGGTGCAGTTAGTACATCGGCTTCAGTTTGGTGTAGTGGTTAGGAGCGTGGACTCTAATCTGGGAGAAATGGGTTTGATTCCCCACTCTGCCTCCACATGCAGCTGCTGGTGTGACCTTGGGTCATTCACAAGTTCTCTCAGAGTTGTTCTCCCAAGCGCAGTTGTCTAGAGAGCTCTCTCAGCCCTGCCTACCTCACAGGGTGTCTGTGGTGGGGAGGGGAAGGGAAAGGAGATTGTCAGCCACTTTGAGACTCTCTTGGGTAGTGAAGGGCCATGGGGTATAAATCCAATCTCTTCTTCTCTTCTTCTTCTTCAACTGATACATAACAGTAATCAAAAGCCAAATGAACCCAAGAAAGGTTGGGAGGGCCAGTGCCTGGCCTTTCAGGAAGTAAGAAGTACCACCCCACTGTAAACCTGAGTCTTCATGGATAGCACAACCTCCTCCAATACAGGTCAAGCACCACACCTTGCTAGGGTTGCCAACCTCTAGGAGAGGCCTGGAGCTCCCCTGGAATTACAAGTTATCTCCAGGTAGTAACCGAGACCAGTTCTCCTGGAGAAAACGGCTGCTTTGGAGGATGGACTCTGTGGCACCATATCCTGCTGGGCCCCTGCCTCCCCCCGCCGCCCCCCAAAACCTCCAGGAATTTCCCAACCCAGGGCGGGTAAACCAAGTCCTGGAGATCTCCCAGAATTACCACTGATCTTCAGACTACTGACATTGGTTCTCCTGGAGAAAATGGCTGCTTTAGAAAATGGCATTATACTCTGTGGAGGCCCCTCCCCAGGCTCTACCCCCAAACCTCCAGGGATTGCCTAACTTGGACCTGACAGCCCATACTCGAGGCCAGCCCTTGCATCCTTGTTGTGAGTCGGCTGCCTCCATCCAAAATCTCTTTGTTCCCACCCTTCCACCCGAGTTTTTGCCTCCTGCATTCTACACTTGAGGTTGTGGGAGAAATGCCCTCCACTCTACCATTCACCCCATTAATTCAACCACTGGGTTCCACTGTATTCCTGTCACATGAGCCCCTCCACAAACCTGTAGCTGGCAGAGAAGACATCCTGGGAAAATAGCCTTATGTACTCTATGAGGCCACTCCGCTCTGACCTAGTGGGAAATTGCCCGATTCCTAGAAAATACTAGCAGTCTCCTCTCCACTGCTTACCTGACGGCTCTGCACGTTATCTGTTTTTTTGTTGTTTTCTAGGCCCACTCCTATCAACATGTGAGCCTGCTCCTCTTGCAGCCCTGGAATGTACACAGATGCTGTCAGGGTGAAGTGTCGTTTCAGCACACGGCTGCTTGTGAGCAACCCTTGCCAGCTCCTAATTTGCAAACTTAATTTGCAATCAGTTGGTGATGCTGCAGGTTGTCTCCTGTTTTGCTGCCTCAGCCGCAATTAATCAGATGGAAGTTGGTTGCCAGTTCCTTATTGGCAGTTCCTAGCACCTCCTTTGTGAGTTTAAGCACAAATACTGATGGGCCTTAAAAAGTTGCGCACTCCCCAGACAAGATTGGGACCTTCACAAATCCAGTGCCCCAAACCTGGTTGCAGAGTTATGTCTCTTTACGGGGCTCGGTCCCCAGGGTCTGGGGATATATGATTTGGGTTGGTCCAAAGGCTGTTTTGGGACACCTGCAGGTGTTTGGTCTTAATTTCTCCCTGCTTTGCAGCAGTGAATACTGACATCTGGTGTTGGACCAGGGAACACCACGGCTCCTGGGGACATAGGAGTTGCCGTACAGAGTTTTCTGAGTATCATTAACGTTGTGGTTGGATTTGTGAATGAGGAACCGTGAATATGGGACCAGGAACCAGTTCTGGAGGGAGGATCTCTATGTTCTGAGCTCTGCTTGTCCAAAAAAGGCCAGGGCATGGGGCTTGCCAGGTTCTCCCAGACAGATTGTAACAGCCACCTTCTCATCTTTCCCACATCAGAAGCCAATAAACACCTTTGTCAACTTTCTTTGCATCCCAGAGGACCAGGCAGAGGCTGGATTGGTCATGCTCCCCTCTTTGACTGTGGAAGGCAGGTACGGCAAGCTCCATCCAGCTGTGGCGGCAAACCTGGGCAGTAACGGTTGCCTGGGCAGGAGAGCTGGATGTGGCTCCCTAAAGACCCAGAAAGGCAGAAGGGCCATCCTCTCAGAGACCTACAACAAAAACGGCGAGAGTTTTTTTGGGGGGGCACAGATTCTTTAGAAGTCTGGCTGACCACATAAGAGGTGTGCTTCATGTACTGCAGGTCTAGAACTCCCTTCAGCACCTGTGAAGGCAGGACACCTGGAACCAGGCCCGTAGCCGGGAGTTTTTAAGTGGGGGGGCACTAGCTAATCAGATTAAAGGGATCCCTGGCTCCTTCCTTGCCCCTGCCGCTGCTCGGGGGACCTGGGCTGGATAGGGAATTGTGGGGGGGCGTTGCCAGTAACCCAGGGGGCCTGGCCCTGGGATGCCCCTCTGTGACTACGGACCTGCCTGAAACTTTTGAAGATGTAGATTTTATGTACATCTCTTTTTCAGCTTTCACATCACAGACATACCCCAGAACTGAACGCTACACAGAAAACAACTTTCATGGCTGAGTGGTCCTGACACAGGGCACATAATGGGTAAGGCACACCCCAGACATCTCCTGTTTAAGGGTAAACCAACCAACCCCAAGGAAGATTACCTCCATTTCGGCCAGCACAAGTCGTCTCAGGTGTTAAAACACTCCAAGGAAAACTCTCGCCTTGCTGCAGGCAAATCTGTTTGCCGCTGCAGATAAGACAAAGCCCTGACTGGACAAGACATGTTGGCACCGGAGAGGGAGCAGTCCGTCCCTTGCCGCACTGGACTGCCTCTCCAGGGCAAGGAAGTCTACCCACACCCTCTGGCTTCTGCCGTCTCCTCCTTCCTTCGGCTGCCAGCTGATATCTCTCTCTCTCTCTCTCTCTCTCTCTCTCTCTCTCTCTCTCTCTCTCTCTCTTCATGGCATTCGAGTGTGCAGACTGACGGCCAAGTTCCAGCCCAGAGGAGGAGATCCAGGGGTGGGACTGAACCGATCATCCGCCCTGCGGGTCAGAGGAGCTCGGGTGGTACCCAGCGTTCTGTGCCACTGCCTTGGAGGGGATCAGCCAGACACCTGTGGCGCACCTGTGGCTGCCTGCGGGGCAGAGAAAGGCCCCGACATGTCTCAGCAAAGATGGGTCCGACTTTCCACAGAGAAGCCAACAAGCACCGTTTACGTGCTGGGCACAGAACTCTCCCTTGATGTCTGTGGGTAAGAAACTTTCTCACGACTATTTTTAGGAGCCAAAAGAAAGGGCAGAGGGCTTAACAGCGGTTAGACAAACTTGGGAGTTTTAGTCCGGAGGTGGGGCTTGAATCTGCCCAGATTCAAATGCAGTTTGTAACCTAGGAGCTTTCTTCAGGTGGCACAAGAGAGTGAGGATGTGGGGCTCTTCTGATGTGGGGTGGATACATTGCACATGCTCTGAGACACTTTTAGGTATTCACTTACATTTTACAGAAGGCAGCTCTCTCTGTAATGACACGTTTCCAGAATAACCAGTTCTAGGTCTCCTACATCTTCGATAAGAAAAATATATACATTTAAAGCAGCTACTATAAATACTTATTTTATGCCAGTGCTACGTGTGGCTAACATTTTCTGAAATCCTAAGAGAGTTGGGGGTGTTGGATGCTTTGGCAGGAGTTACATCTACATAGGTTTATGTTCATGTGGGGGAACAGAAGATATATGTCAGTAACCTCAAATGCCCCTCGATTTCATGTGGTAGCTAAAAGTTCTAGAATCACAGAATCATAGAGTTGGAAGGGACCTCCAGGGTCATCTAGTCCAACCCCCTGCACAAGGCAGGAAATCCACAAATACCTCCCCCCCCAGTGTGATGCCCCCCCTTTATCTGCTCTGACCACATCGAGCATAATTTCATAGAGATCAGTAAGTTTGAACTCATACTTTTCTAAACTACTAAGTTCCAAATGCCTAAGGAACCTGGAGCTTTTCAGTTTATTGCGGAGAAATGACTACAGAGTTTGACGCCTTTTAGTTAAAAAGAAACCGACTTCAAATTACTGATAACTTGCTGGAGCTTCATAAAACCGTGTACAGGAGTGGTCGGGGTAGAGAAAGAGATCCTCTCCTCATTGCGAAGATGCTCCAACCCCTCAATTGTTCTGCGTGCCCTTTCCTGGCCCTTTCCTAGTACTGCAGTCTCTTTTTTGGTGACATGGTACAGCAACCAGGAAATCTGGGTCTTCCTAACGCAGCAGCACAACTGATCAGTGCTTTCAGTCCCTTTCCTAACATTTCCTAGGGCAGAGCTTGCCTTTCTCCTGGCCACCGCCCACTGGGTCAGCATCGCCATTAACTAAGTTATCCCCTGGGACCCCCACGAGGGTCTCTTTCAGGTCAGCCCCCACCGCTTTGCCTCCCTTGGCAGTGAGTTCCACGTGCCACCCCTGCTGCCCCTCCTCCCAGGCGACCTGTGAATTCTCTGCTTCTCTTGCAGGTCGGCCCCTGCAGGCGCTACCACTTTTCATGTGCACAAGACACTCGGAGTCAACTATGTTGTCCATGATACGAAAATGTCAAAGATCCCTTCTCTGGTCACCGGGTGGCCCCTGGACGTCGGGGTGGAGGTGATTGTGACCATGCATAAATCCAGCTGGAGAGTCAACGACGGGCAGGTTAGCGGCATTCATGGCTTTTTGGGGAGGGAGGGGGGTGCAGCAGACCCTCATGGGGAAGCAGTGGCAGGCCATGAGCACCCTACTACTAGATGCTGCAGGGCCTTTACTGCTGCAGCCCGAGGCAGGGAAACGATCACCCCTTAAGAAGAAGAGGAAGAAGAGGAAGAAGGAATGAGAAGAAGGAAGAAGAAGAAAGAAGAAGAAGAAGGAAGAACAGGAGGAGGAGGAGATTGGATTTATAGCCCGCCCTTCACTACCCAAAGGTGTCTCAGAGCGGCTCACAGACTCCTTTCCCTTTCCCTCCCCACAACAGACACCCTGGGAGGTAGGCGGGGCTGAGAGAGCTCTGACAGAAACTGCTCTTTTTCAAGGACAGCTCTTGTCAGAACTATGTCCTGCCCAAGGTCATCCAACCAGGTGCGAGTGGAGGAGTGGGGAATCAAACCCGGTTCTCCCAAATTAGAGTCCGCGCACTTAACCATGACACCAGACTGGCTCTCGCCTTAGAGACAAGAAGGGATCCTCCTCTATTCGCATTTTGGAAGGATGATAGAAGCTTCTTTTTTCCCATTTTCCTCTGTTAATTTTTGACAGGATTTTTTTTAAAAAAAGATGTTTTGGCTTTTTAAAAATTTAGCTCCTAATAGTTATTTTGAATGGCCTTTATTTTTGCTCTTTGCTTACCGTGAGACACCTTGAAAGTGTTCTAGAAAAACGGCACATAAATGTGGACAATGATGAGATATTATTCCTGTGGTTGAAATGCTTGTGCCTCACCTGCTAGCCTGAGATTCTTGAAGCAGGTGATATTTATTTTGATTATCAAAAACACCAGGTGCCATCAGGGGGTCCAGCAGTGGGGCCAGGACACTAGAAGCCCTCCCACTGTTGCCCCCCCCCCTCAGCCTTTAGGAAGGGGGTGTATTTTTATACATTCAGACTGAACCAACCAAGTGGGGAGGGCGTCGTGGTTCACCATGGCAAAGGGGGCACTGCCCCACCAGACTCAGCTCCTTGCCCCCCCACCGTAAAAGTGGAGCAAAAGCCTTCGTGGACCTACTGCCAGGCCGGGGCTTGCTCCCTTCTTCCTCTTCTTCCCTGCTTCTCTTTCCGGACCACAGCCAACCTCCTCCCTGCCCTCAAGCCAGAGAGTTTTTCTCCCCACGGAATCTTTTCTGGGCCAAAGCCCCGTGCCTGCTCAATGCAAGACTATAGAAAGAGGGCGGGGCCTATTAAAATAAGGAAAGATTGACAGGCGGGGTAAGTGGATTCTTATGGAATTTATGGCGCAATCAGAGACTGGCATGGAGCAGCATCCCTGAAAAGTACTGGGTTCGACGCGTGGAGAACTCGGGCTACGAAATGTGTTCAGACGCGTTTATTGTACTTCACAACAAGACAAGGAAAAACGGCCCTGCAAGGCCAACTCTATACACTCCCACCCAGCACACCTCTGTCCTCATTGGAGGTTTTGAATCTCCCGCCAAGGGTGCTATTGGTGGACTCTAGGTGGACTGGGATCCCTAGGTCCCCTTTGTGTTTGGGGACCAAGCTCCTGCTTAGCTGCGGACCCCTGGGGGCGGTCCATGTAGATAACAAGAACCCACTGCCCAGTGTCCAGTTGCAGCCATGGAAAGTAAGTGGGGACGGGGGACGCGGCTTTGCTTTGGTTCTGCGTCCTTTCCTGCTTCCACATTCCAGTCGCCTATGGCCATCGGCACATCTCCTTTAGGTACACGATCAATTTCTTCCTGGACACTTGCATAAAAGCTTCTGATGTCTTCCTCCTCAGCAGCTATAGCTGGGGCGTAAACTTGAATGATGGTTTTGTTGATAGGCTTTCCATGAAGCCTGATTGATATTATTGGGTCAGACTTTGCGTTGACGGCCCCTGGTTGCCCGTGCTACACCTTGCCTCGCTATTCAGAGCGACACCATTCCTTCCGAACGATCTTAACCATTTCTGTTCCACACAAGAAAACCAGCGGCTCTTCTCGAAAATGGCAGGAAGCGTAAGGGGCAGGCAGTGCAGGACCACGGCCATCCACGATGACGCCACGCAAAGTCTGACATGCGCAACACTTGGCTGCAGTGGTGGCTGGTGGGGCTGGGGGGCACACAAACACACACATCCTGAATTACCGAAGAAAGAACAACGAAACAAACCACCCCCCTTCCTTCACCATCATTCTAGATCAAATGTTCTTCCTTAAAAAGTAAAAAGACACATGTAGAGTGATTCACACATGGGATTCACTGCCACAGGAGGTGGCGGCAGCTACAAGCTTGGACAGCTCCAAGAGGGAATTAGATAAGCATATGAAGCAGAAATCCATCAGTGGCTCTTAGCCACAAGGTATAGAAGCACAACGGAAGAGGAGGGCCTGGCGTGATGTGGTCCATGGGGTCCTGAACAGTCAGACTTGACTGTGCAACTGAACAACGGCAACAACAAATAAATAAGAACTCTAGGGCAAGTGATGCCCTGTATTCTTTGTGCTTGGGGGGTGGGCAGCAGTGGGAGGGCTTCTAGTGTCCTGGCCCCACTGCTGGACCTCCTGGAGGCACCTGGTATTTTTGGCCACTGTGTGACAGAGTGGTGGAATGGATGGGCCACTGGCCTGCTCCAACATTGGCTTCTCTTCTGTTCTTATGTCATGGATTGCTTGCTGTTTTTTACATTCCTGCCCAAGCCTATACTGAGTCAGACCAGGGTCTCCGGCAGAGGTCTTTCTGAACCCGGGACCTTCTGCGTGCCAAACAGGTCCTCTACCACTGAGACATGGCTCCTCCCCCCAGCCCCCAATCCCACCATGCCCTCTTTCTCTCCCAGGTCAGGCCAGATGAGTCAGGAGACCATCTGCTCCATGGCTCATCGTCACCAGCCACAAACTCCTGTTTCCGCCCCGTTCCTTACCAGACAGCCCAGCGAAGGCCCAGCCCCTGCCAGAGCAGCAAGGCGAAACTGGCCCCACCAGCACAGCCTTCACGTAGTTTCCCCTGCTGCAACTGGACACTGGGCAGCGGGTTCTGCTACCCTTGTGAGTCGCTGATTGGCCGACAAATTCCATAAGACTCCATTGACCCAGCCTGTCAATCTTTCCTTAGTCTAATATGCCTCACCCTCTTTCTATAGACTGGCATTGAGCAACCGAGGGCTTTGGCCCAGAAAAGAACGTATGCCTTTAAGAATAATGGGGGCAAACTCCTCTAGCTTGAAGGCAGGGAGGAAGGTGGCGGCGGAGATCACAGAATCCTAGAGTGGGAAGGGGCCATACAGACCATCTAGTCCAACCCCCTGCCCAATGCAGGACCAGCCTAAAGCATCTCTGACAAATATTCATCCAGCCTCTTCTTGGAAGCTGTCACTGAAGGGGAGCTCACCACCTCCCTAGGCAGCTGATTCCACCTTTGAACCACTCTGACCGTGAAAAAGTTTTTCCTAATATCCAGCAGGGACAGGGGTCATTTCGTAGCAAAAGAGGTGCAGGAGCTCACTAGCATAACTTATTTGCATATGCCACACCCCCTGACATCACCAGAAGTGTGTCAGAAGGCAACACCCAATGCTCAGGCTCCACTGGACTGTTTTGGATTGCTAGCTACTGGGGGGGGGGAGTGTGCAGATGAGGGAGAGCTTCTACCTGAATAAAGCTTGGTCTTAAAGGTGCCACTGGACAGTTTTGGATTGCTAGCTATGGGGGGGGGGACACGCAGATCTGCCCTCACAGAGGAGGGAGAGCTTGTACCTGAAGGCGGGCGAGAGGGGGGGCTCTGCAACTTACCTGGCTGCTTCTTGCTCCTTGTGGCCCGACTGAGGGCTGCTGGTAGCAGGGGGTGGGGCTTGTTGCATGTGCCCGCCCCCTGGGCTCCTTACTGCCTGAGCTCCGCTCCTGTGCGCTCGCATAGGAAATGACCCCTGAGCAGGAATATATAATGTCCAGAAAGACAAGCACCAAGAAGGCTAAGATTGACCCGGGGGGGGGGGGGGGGGGAGCTGGCAAGCCTGCCAGGCCTGGCCCACAAAGCCATCTTCAGAGGGGCCCCCCTTCCCCCCGCTGATTGGTTGCTTCGATTTGAATGTATTGGAATGTGCCCTTTCCCTAATGGCATGACAGCCTGGGAGAGCAGGTGCGTGTTTTAGGTGTGTGTTTTTCCCCTGTGCCGTGCCGCTTAGTGCCCCGGGGGCCAGTTCCTCGCTTGCCTTGCCCTCCTTGCGGGTCTGTGTGTGGGAGGCCATGACAAGGAGGAGGCTGTTTGAGGGCATAATTGGCACATGGGTGTCACAACTGCCCATCACAGAAAAAAGAATGGCACGACACTAAGAAACAGTAAACTCCAACCATAACATGGCAAAAGGGCAACAGAACCTAGATCTGGAGAATTGCACAGGCTTGGGAATTTCTTTTTAAACGTTTATTTATTTATTGATTTGATTTATATAACGCCCTCCCTGCAGGCGGGCTCAGGGCGGTTGACATCAGTCTTAATGCAATACCATTAAAACAACCATTAAAATAAGTGCCCAGTGAAGAAATAAAGTGTGCTTCTACATTAAGCTGTGGTGGCTCAGAGGTTAAGACACTGAGCTGCAGACTGGAAGGTCTGTAGTTCGGCAGTTCGAGCCCCTGGTGCCGTGTGACGGAGTGAGCTCCCGCCTCTGGCCCCAGCTCCTGCCAGCCTAGCTGTTCGAAAGTAAGAAATTGCAAGGAGATAAATAGGGACCGTTTTGGTGGGAAGGTAACAGCATTCTGTGCGCCTCAGCCTTTAGTCCTGTCAGCTACATGACGATGGAAACGTCTTCGGACAGTGCTGACTCTTCAGCTTGGAAACAGAGATGAGCACCATCCCCTAGAGTCAGATTCGACTGGCTTTTGAGCAAGGGAAACCTTTACCTTTTTCTACATTAAGAGCATAAACTGGGAACCCTAGTTCTACCAGGGTGCAAATAACCCTGGAGAGAGCACTGGTGTGGGATGAGCGTTAGTCTTTGACCTGGGAGGCCGGGTTCAAATCCTCACTCAGCCATGAAACCCAGCGTGTGATTTTTGGCCTCTTGCTCAGGCCCACCTGCCTCCCAGGCGATGGCACTGAAGAGCTCCTTCCAGGAAGGGTGAGATAAAGATGGAATAATGGGTGTACTCCCTGCTTCCCCCCCCCCAGAGATGGCAGGGGCCACGGCTCTTCTGCAGCCACATTTGACACCCATCTCAGCTGATGCCGTCAGGGGTTTGCACTCAGCAGCCGGTAGTTTGGAGTAACTGATGAGTGCATTGTGTCCTCTTGGTAGGTAACAATTTCGTATTACCAGGCCAATGAGGAGACACCCATGGCCACAGCCGTGCTCCAGCTCACCTGCGTAGGTAAGTTGGCAACCGTTGGGGTCAAGCAGAAAAGCACAAGGAGGTGCACAGGAAGAGGGGGCGCCTGGTGGGCACCGGGTCTGGCTTCAGAAGGCAAGCGCCCAGTGGGACCGGATCCAGGCTGTGTCTAGTTCCTCAGCTTCCATTCTGGGTGGCGCTGAAGAACCACGAAGAGAGGAACAGGGGGCAGAGGCCCCCGCCCCCGCTGCTCCCCTTCAGTAACTGCTGTCCCGTGGAGAAAAATTCAGGCGGGAGCGTCTCTGTTGGTCTGAAGCAGCGGAACAAAGTTTGGGTCCAGTGAGGCACCTTGAAGGCCAACAGAGTTTGATCCAAGGGATGAGCTTTTGTCTGAAGAAGTGTGCTTTGCACACCAGAGCTTAGACTCTGAATACATGTATTTATTTATTTATTTGTCACATTTCTATCCCTCCCGCCCTGCAAGCAGGCTCAGGGCAGCTCACGTTACTTGGCCCACTGGGCCGAGATTCATATAAACATTTAAAACCGGTTAAACAACCAATCAATTACAATATACAAATTAAAGTGCTCGCAGTACAGTTTAGGCAAGATGGCGTGCCATAGAGGGCCAGAACATCCTACTCAGCGGCAGCGCGATCGCACTGCACTGCAGCCCGGCCTATGCCGCAGATAGTAATAGTGGCCGTTGGTGGTATTAGTGGGCGGCTCCTAACTGAAAGCCTGGTGGAAGAGCTCCGTCTTACAGGCCCTGCGGAAGTGCATAAGATCCTGCAAATAAAACTTTGGTGGTCTTCAAGGTGCCACTTGACTCAGACTTTGCTCTGGTATTCAGTGGGTCAGAACGGCTTCTGAAGACGGAGGTCCTATCCAGCCACTGCTGGCAGCAATCCTAAACACTCTTACTGGGGAGTAAGGGCTAAAATACACAGTAGGTATGTCCAACACATGCTGGGTCACGAGTGCGTATCCTGACTCACAGCCAGACGTACATTAAGGGAACTCACCTTAAACAGCACTTGTGTGTTCAGGGCTGTGAGCGGGAAGGAGGAGCTTCTGGTTTCCATCTCAGCAGAAACAGCAGGGCATGGGGGGGGGGCTTTTCATTCCTTGCAGCACATGAAGCCAGAGAAAGGGCGTGAAAGGCCCCCCCCCATTTCTGCCAGCAAAAGTGAGACAGGAGGGAAACTGGAAGCTCCCCCCCCCCCCCCAGCGCTCCCCTGAACCCCAAACCATATGTGTGCTG